GCCTCGAATACAAATAAGACCATCTCTAAATATAATTTGCTTTGATAAAAAAGAGATTATGTATGGAAGTAAACAAACTTTATCTTGTACAACTTAAAATAGTATCAAACGATTACCTCGTTTGTAAAGATAAAGATTTAGACTTGTCCATTCATGTAAAACATAATTGCAATGGTGTGATTTCATTAAACAAAAAAATAATTCAGCTTTTAGCATTTTGAGCTTTTATTCGTGATTCGGTGATAATCGTATGTTTACCTATACATGGGAACAATATAATGATATGCCATGACTTGCCTTAGAATGTTATTGATACAGTGTATAATTTCAATACGTTTCAAACTTATGCTCCTATTCTAGTTTCTATATTCATACCTGAATATATTCATGATGTGATTCAGAATTCTATAAGTCATATAATTGTCTTGTTATGTTATGTGGTCAGTAGCCGGAGGACCGTACTTGCTCATATACTTTTTCTTTATAGAGTCTTGACGCCCTTCTGGCTTTCAGCATAAGACACTATGTTTTTTGTTTTATGTTTCACATAATACATGTGAAAACAAATTTCTGTATTATATATTGACAATAAAGTCTTGAACCGTGTGAAGGAGTATCTCTCTGTTTGAAGAATTTCGAGGTAAAGGGAGATGGGGATAGATCATAGTGAGAGATGGAGAGGGTGGAAGAAGAAGGAACAAAGAGGAGTGACAAAGAGAACCGAGGTAAAGAGAGGAAGGGATTGGGGAGAGGGAGAGAGAGTGCGCGCGTGTGTGTGGGTTTGTGTGAGTGTGTGTGTGTGTGTAAGATGGAGGTGAGGGGAGGGGCCCAGAGAAGGGGGGGGGGGGCACTCTCATAGACAAGTGCTACCCATCCGTGTCCATCAACCTCTGAAATGGACCCTGATGGCGTATCGCATCGTTTCTGAAATGACCCTCAAAGCGTATGTATCGCACATTTTTCAAAAATGGACCCTAATGGCGTTTGTAAGAAAACGTCGAAACCTGTGAAACTGAAAAGCCACCTTTTGGGAGATTTTTTTTGCGATCAGTGCTCGAAAAACACCGAAAAACGTCGACGACGCCGTATAGCTGAAAGACACCATTTCGACTTTTTTTCTTGACGCGGGAGGGGACAATTATTGTTTTTTTCTGTACAGGACATATTGATACTTATTTCAATGGGTGGGGGGGGGGGGCGTGGAAGACCAAACTATCCAGTATAACAGTGGTTGCAGCAAAGGCAACTCAACAAGCTAATATCCGATCCTTCTAGGCCTACACTAAACATGCAATATTCATTTTGTACCTCGAAACAGAAGATGGAATGGGGTCACTAGGTGAATCATCTCGAGCATGATGAGGACAACCAATAAAACAATTATCACGAACAATTTTTAAACAAATTCTTATATTTAAAGGAATATGGTCAATCTGTCATGTCATGCTGATTCCAGTGACTAATGTTGGAAGCCTGGTTATATAGTATTTACCATTATTACTATTATTTACTCAAGAAGATTGATTTGCCATTTATAACCACTTGATGTCTGCACACTGATTATTTGAGATAATCATTTATAGGGGCTGCATCCCGCCGCCCCCCCCCCGCCGATGAGTGTACATGCTTGTTAATGTATCATCAATAGAAAGTCACCTTCACATGCAATCCAAATAAAGTGGGTCAAATGTAATTTATTCTTATAAAAAGGCACTCAACAGATAAATCGACTAGAGGTTAATAGATCTACTTTGACATTATTTGTTTAAATAGTATTTAGGGATAATTTTTTGTTTGGTTTTATACTCTGTATATATATAGTTCTTGAATCTGTTCCAAATACGACCAACTATCTCTGTCATCACTGGAGTATTGATAGCTGTGTCTAGAGATAAACATCTGTTTGCTTTCCTTTACTGATGAATACAGCTAATCGTTTATATTTCTTGCTGATGAATAGCTTGAGTACATTAATGACACCTCGTAACACTCAACCTTTAATTTGTTGACAAATGCTTTCTGATGAGTTTTGATTTTACAATCTTATATCTAATCGTGACGAGAAGAGAAGATAAAATAATTAATGAAACAAACGAACCCAGAAAACTCAAGCAGTCAATAGCCGTTATAGTTTAGGGAGAAATATGTGTCTCTTTGAGAAGCCGAAGCCCCCAATCAAGCAATGAAATTATCCTCCTGTCTCCACTCAGAATCCGAATTTATATTTTTAAAGAATGAAATGAAGTGACGACCGAGTGTTTCATAAAAGTGTAGTATTTCATACACTAGTCGGGTTTAATAACCAATTAATTAATTAATTAATTGGCTTGTCAATTTTTCTGATTCTGGTCAAAAACCACTAACCGTACTCAAAAGATTTGAGGATGTTACGTCAAGACCAGTGTCAGTTTTTTTTTAAAACTTAAAAAAAAAACTCCCTCTTTGGATCTTATATTTCTCAGTTTTGAATGCTTTAGTTCATTTTTCTTTTAAAAAAACGGTACTTTTTTTTCTTTAAGATTTTTGAGTCGGTCGCAAAGGGCAACATCTTTTTTTAGGCCTCATCTCCAGTTGCCCTCTATGTCTAAGAAGAATCCTGATGAGGCTTCGATAATTAAGGGACATATTCTCTTTTTGTAAGTTCAGTATTCAGTATAATAGATTTGGGTTCTGCGGGAAACCGTCTCGACCCCCTCCCCCTCCACCAACCCCTCCCCCGCAATACTTCAGCGAGACCAAATTTTATCTTAAATATATTCCAGATCCCCAAACAGGATTTTTGCCTGTACACATTTAATCTCATAAGATGAATGAGGCTGGTTTAGGAACAGGAGAGCATGAAAGTTGAAAATAATGTAGTCTAGTGTTGTTGATTGAATTTTTTTTTGATATAATAATCTAAAAAGTATGTCTCCCTTCACTTTGAAGTTCAGAGTACGGTAACGCTTCAAATCACTGAACTCAGCAACATTGACCTAGTTAAATTGAAAGGAGAGAACATTGACATCATGTACACAGTGAACCTTTCTCCTCCGATCCCCGCTGGGGAAATAACTCTATAGGCTGATCTATGAACCCAGCAACATCTCGAGCTGATCATGGACGGGTGGTGGTGGTAGGTGTGTGGGGGGGGGGGGGGGGGTGAATGAAAAGGCGAGGGAGGAAGAAATGCTGTGGTATAGTGGTAATGACTTTGTGTAAGTCTCAATATTGTGAACGGTACGAGTTCGAGTTCCTGTCATAGCACCAACGTTCTTTGGCCAGACATATATCTATATTTGCAAAACTCGACTCAGGTGAGGTAAATGGGTACCCGCCTGGTAGGATTACTGATCCTTGGAATGGACTGTATAAGAGTATTGTGGATAGCGCGTGTATGGGCTAATTGCCTTTAGTCCCCGGCCCCAGGGGCGGATCCAGGGGGCCTGGAAACCCACCCTGGCCCCCTGAAATAGGTTTAGAAAAGGATGGTATCAATAATTTTACCTTTAAATAAAAAAGACAGAAGACGGGCTCCCACCCCTAGACTTTTAAAATTTTTGTGCGGATCCAGCCGGCGGCGAGGGCGGGGGCCCCATTAGTGAGACAATATTTAGCGCCGAATCAGCCGGCGATTAAGCAGGGGGCGGGGGGGGGGGGGGTTGGAGTGTTGAGTAAGAGTACAAAATAGTGCTCCTCCCCCCCCCCCCCCCCCGCTTAATCGCCGGCTGATTCGGCGCTTAATATTTTCTCACGAATTGGGCCCCCGCCCTCGCCGCCGGCAACCCGCATGATAATCCATGGACAATCGAACTATATGAGCCATATCATTATTGTCAAAGAGTAACATGCACTGAAATGCGAAACCACAAGAAATACAGTAAGATGAAGAGCCAACAGATATATTCACCTTCGGGTCAAGCTATCCGAGCCCTATTTGGAAAAAACTTGACATGTGATATTGAACCCTGTTTAACCCTCTTATGGATATTAAATATATTCAGTGCTATGATATATGACCTATATGTACGTATATAACCTTGTCGGCAGCTGTGGAATGTGCTTTGCGTTGTGCTTAAAGTATTGTTTTGATATCAAACACAAGCGATCGTTGTCTTTATAGAAAAAAGATAAAAGGGAAAAAAAAAGGTTTATACCTTTTCTTCAAATGTTCCTGGAGCTTTTATTAAATGGTAGTACAAATAATTATGCAATTATCCATCTATATACAAATTTCAAGAGTCAAAACTCGCTTATGACAAAGTAAATTTTCCAAAGAGTAACTTAACATAAAGAAGGATTTATTCCGTTCATGAAGTCACTCTTATACACAAGTGCTACTCATTCATGTCCATCAACCTCTGAAGTGGCCCCTTAAAGGCGTATCACACATTTTAAAGTTCACACCGCTAAATTGTTAAAAATGGCTTCGAAAACATCGACTTGACCCTTTTGGTTTTGTTTGTTGCTGGGATGTATCAGTTCTGATTACAAACATAATAATAATGATTAGTCACGTATTGCAAAGTCATGTCATAGACAAAGTTTAATTGGGAGCTTATCGAGACTATCTCAGGTGTCAAAACTTGCGTCATGCACACCTGTCGAGACAGCAATATTTTCGTAAAATAATCCATAAAATGCTCCTCGATTCCAGAGCCAATGATTTACCCCCCCCCCCCCCACCTCCATGTTCACATTTTTTCTTACATTTTGTTTTGCTTTTTTTACCCGCTTTTGCTCATGATTAGTTTCCTATGACTTATAACAAAAAAAATACGTGCGATTGGATTTGTCTTTGTTTTACAGGCTAAGTTCAATGTGCTCTCTCTCTCTCTCTCTCTCTTCTCAATTGTTGAACCACGATGAACCAGTAGTCTTTTAATTAAGCCTCAGTAGAGCAAGTACAACAATGGAGTATAATCAAGAAAATATTGATAATTGATCCAAGATCAAGTTTATTTACAGAAATGTTATCAAATACTAAATAACATGGAATCCACATTTACTCATTAATAAGAATCAACTGGATTTGGCTTTAAAGTACAATGTTCTGAGGATTTCCTAGCCTCTTGGCCATGCTCAGAGTAAGCTTCATGCTTTTTCCAGTGGTTTATGGAGATCTCGGTCTCAGAAGGGGTTCAGTCTCTGGACTGGAATCCACAAGGTACGGTGTTCGAATCTCTGCCACACCACTAACGTCCTTTGGCAAGACGCTAAGCATCCGCAACACTTGAAATGCACCGTGTGCTGATTATGGTTGCCGGAGCTATAGCCGGGGTAATAATTTCTAAAGTTGGGAGCGCTATAGACGTTATCAAAATGTGATACTGATAGGTGCTATAGGAAAACGGAATATAGTCATGATATACACCCAGTATTACCTTTTACCATGTCGGATAACATTCTATTAGTTTGAGTTTTAAACTGCAAATTTGGCTAGCACCCAGTAAAGAAAGATTGCGTACTCGATCTTGCAATTCAAAGTCCGAACAAAAATATTGAAGCCAGCGGGATTTGAAGCTACCACGTACTGCGGACAGCGGCTTTACCACCAGGCCATCACTGGTCCATGAAACAGTCACGATGACCTAGTAACAAATACCTCAGCTCTCCTGACCTATTTAGATTAATCAATATTCATCAGTCCGCCATTAGGACAATAGCTTTGAATGTACGGCTCTCTTCCTATTGAAATTCACTCCCATTGAAATCCTATTGATATCTGTACTCTAATTATAGTAGTTCTTCCAGCCACTAACATCATGCATTAAAGTTTGAGTCGACATTCATACATTTCGTCATAATACTTCATGACCTTGTCCGAGCACCTGATGACGTCAGGTGGTAGTTCATCACGTGATGGCATCTTCTTAGGCGGGTTGAAGCATGTACTATTCATAGCAGTCCCGTAGTAATTGACCATACTCTGGATTAGCTGGTCACCCGATGCTTTCATCTTCTGAAATACCTCGCTTGAGGCGTCCCATTTTAATAATCTGTCGTCGTACGGTAACCCCACGGCATTGCAGTAAGCCGAAAGCATTCCCGCGGGATTCGCCAACAAGTCCTCACTATCGATAATGATAGGATTGGGTTCGATGTTCTCATCTTGGAGGTACTTCCAGAGGTCGTAGAGCTCCTTGACAAAGAAGCCCGGTGGAAAGAAGCGGTCATCGTGCTCGATGTCATACTTCTTCACGTTGGCCGCGTCACCTGTTGAAATAAATTAGCGTACTGTTACGAATCAGGCCTAGAGATATTCATGAACAAGTGTACTGAATAACAGGGGCGCTGCTAGACCTGGATAATGTGGGGGTGTGAATTGATTTGAATTTGATTGAATTGAACTGAAGTTAAAAATATTCGACTAAAAAAAAATATTTTAATTGAATTGAATCGGATCAAATTGGATAGAAATGGATTTGATTGAAAATCGTTGGATTTAATTGAATAGAATCGGATTGAATTTAATTTAATCTAATTTAACAGAATTAAATTGAACTTCAAGTCAGTTGGAACAGATTGGATCGGATTGGATGTGATTGGTGAGAGTTGAACCGGATTGGATAATTGAATTAAATGGAACTGAAGAAATAAATTGGATTAAATTTGTATTAAATTGAAGTGAAGTGAAGTGAATTTAATTTAATGGAAAAAATTAATTAAACTGAATGGAATTTAATTAGATTGATAGAGGTAACCTACCGTCCAGTATTCCTAGCTCAGAGAAATGTTTATACGTCATGCTATGGTAGGAGAGTAGGACTCGATCTGGATGTCGTATGATGAAGGTGTGTCGGTACCCTTTGGGTAGGTACTCACGGTACCCCTCAGTCATCGCCATGCCCATATCCTTGACGAATACGTGTTTGGCAGTAGCAGCTTCAAGACGACTCTTTACCGATCCGTATCTGTAGAAGTATATGAATTAAGAAGAGTGTTGGACAGATCTCTGTATAGTATACGGCATGTATTTGGTTTGTTTGTTTATCAAGGGGCTATCCCAAAAGAGATTATTCGATAATTGCCAGAAATGTCCTTTGCTTCCTGTTTAGAAAAAAGGTAGTTACTTCATACCACTTGGTCCTTATCATATTTCATACATATAGTTTCTTTCTCTTTTTCCTCCTACTATTACTTCAACAAAAGGGGCATGCTTATCACATACATCTTGAAACATATGACATGCTATGATTCCTTGTTAAATTTCAACCATTCTTAAAGGGAAAGGAAATCATAACAATCGAGTTATAGACGAAGGTACAAGGAGATAGAGCTCAACGTCCATGAGAAAAAAGACGGTACAAACTTACGGGAGGCGATCGGCTTCGAATGGACTATTTGCCATGATGTCCATCATTCCCTTGACCTTCTGGAAGATCTCCTCATTTCCTGCGTACTCCGTCGGGAGGTCGAGCTTGGACTGGTATTTATACTCGATCGTCGCTGCTTTGGAGTAGCAGTAGAGTTCAAACCATACCTCACAACCTTCAATGTGGCTGAGACACTTGGCTAGAGCTGTAGAGATGGTCCTGGGTAAACACCAGAGAATGGTCCTGCTACTGACGCCATCATTACTTGTAGAACACATTCTCCGCGTTACCTTGTCCAAATGTTGATAACCCAAATTGTATCATGAAAGCGCTTGCAATATTCCTAATCTGCAAGTATCACGAATTGAGCATGGATTGTAACATACACTTTCTGTTGGAGTATGGGGAGGGGGGGGGGGGGGGGGGGGGAGCAACCGTGGAAAGATGGGGCATATGACACTATTAGGCCTTCAACAGAGACGACACGGCTTCAAGTCTGGATGATCTGAAACGAAACGCACAGTATTGGATAGCATTGGTGGTTTCTTTATCGTTTTTTCGTTGCAGCCAGTGGCTGAATTGAGACAGATGTATAAACCATACAAATAGACCCTATACACATATCATAATTAAAAATACATCATTATTATAAGCGCGGTATAACATGAAAATTACGAATGACCACGTCATGTAGATAGATGAAGGTCGTGTATAGCTATAGGTAGATAGATTTAACTTAATACATCAACAAATTATTTCTGAGGCAATGTTGGAAGTAAGGAAATTGAATATGAACGTTTACCTGCATGAATCTGCGTACAGTCGGGCCGGTGTATAATTATTTACACGAACAATCCATGTACGGTGTACAACGTGCATGCAGTTAATTGTATGGAGGGACGTCTCGGACAGTGATCACGTGACATGAAGTCGACCAAAGTTCAGGTTCAAGCAGTGACCTCTCCCTTGCACGAGTAAACACCGGGGTACTGGAGGGGGAGGGGGGGGGGGGGGGGGGGGTCAAGTGAGTAAAGTTCATTCTTGAGCGATGGAATTAGAGGTTGGGTTTCCTTTTGAGATGTGTTTACGTGTGGTATTAATATGTTGGACTGTATTGCTCTGTCTGCAGGTGCGAGTCTGATCAATGTCGGTCTCCTTGGTGTAACAGGTGTTTGAGCAAATAATACAGACAATTACGTACATACCTTGGACACGTAGCCTAGCTCGTGTTCACCGGGCTTAGCTATGCCCAACCTTCACGAACGTTCATGTAATCCTATGTCACAAAGATCCTTTCTCGGTTTGTTCTATTATATTACGATATTAGTGCGGTATGGGTTGTAATCCCGTAGGATTTTTTTTCGCCAAAGTTGATTTTTGTTTCTGTTTTGACTTCAATTCGCCAAAAGTGATGGGGTTCAAATTTTCAGACCCCTCCTTCATTTCCCTGGGGAGGGGGGGGGGGGTCCATATTGGGCGCCAAAATGGCATATATAACGCGCAATAGGGAAAAAATATCAACTTTTGCACAAAAGTCCTACGTGAGCTGTTTCAGTGACATACCGTACCACACTATATCCCTCAGAAGAATTAAAAAGTGATCAATGTCCTTCCTTAGTAATTAGACTGTGATTAACTACATTTGATAATAATTGTGTATGGTTAAATGTCTTCACTCGCTTCAAAGCGCAAAGGCATCCATTACAACAACAAAAAATAAAAAATAAACACACAACATGAAATTCATAAATAGATTATGCCAAAAAGATATCAATGGAAATTCCATTAATTTAATATCCATCCACATTTCAGTATAAAACCGTGATAATTTTGTTATAAATATCATATGATATCATCAATCTTGTAAAAAACAGTCATGTTCGAATCAAAATGTTAATATATGTTAATGACCTTTCAATTATAAGCACATTTATCAATACCACACGTATACTAACTGACAATACAAGACCACTCATAAGATAAAAAGATCAATATGATCAGATGTACGAATTCACTTGACTTTAATTTGAGATTACACAAACAAATGCAGTCATAAAATACTTTATAATGATGCAGCGATGCAGCTATACACATATATTATACTTAATATACATATTCATGCAAGTGCAATAAAGTAGTTTACCCAGGGAAGCCTTATCAGCTTTAACGATGTTCTACCTGAGGGCCCTGCAATTTGTATTACCCTAGCAAACGCCTGGTACGCCTGTGCACATGGGTGCACAGTGGCAAATGTGAATTAAAGTATTACTAAAAGGCATAACAAAGCAATGTATTATGATTAGTTAGTGCCAGGCTGGGATTCGAACCCTCAACCCTTGTGCTGAGAGTCAAGTGAATGAAACACTACACCACGGCACTTATTGTAAAATCCAATGTGGTATAAACAAACTTGTTTTACCTCATAGTATGAATTTTTCAGAACGGTGCTCCCCCTCCCCTCATCCGCACAATGTCCTGGATACGCCCATGTGGTGTAGAGCACAATCAAGATAAGACGAGTTCAATCAGCATTATTACTATCTTATAGTTCCAATATTGGAGCAGCTCTCACACTGGCACAATTGCACCATGGACCCTTTACCAACATGATTATAAAACCTACCTTTAAACATCGGTCATTAGATACAGCAGACAACGACTTTTGATCAAAGTCAAAGCTATTAACCCAATGTTGGCGTTATTTTTCATTCCAAACTGGTAATTGGTGTTGGCTAAATATTGGCTCTATTTATAATTCGATCGTTATGATACGGGTCCGTAGTGACTCTCCAAATATTAGTTGTAAATCTTTTAAAGAAACTATGGGCAACGATTTGTTACAAAATAGGACATACATTCAATATTGGATCAAGAGATATTATGTGAATGATATTGAATACATTGTAAAATATATTGAAGAGGTTAATATGATTTTTCTTCTCTCCATATAACATATACAATATAGTAGCCCTAAAGCATACTACAGTCAAACCTGCTTTAGTGACCACCTGGCTACAAAGACCACCTGTCTCGGAGGACCACATTTTTTGTTTCCCTTGAAAATGGTTTCTCATTCAAACATGTACCAAATCAACCTGTCTACAAAAAACACTTTTTGTGTTTCCCTTGGGCGGTCGCTGTAGACAGGTTTGACTGTATATCGATTGCCTCCTCTCCAAACCAACTACATAAACTAATAAAACGCACCATACCCACCCCTTCAATACAAAATTTCAGAGTCTGTATTACCCGTGTCTCAAGTATGTTTGATGGATACCAAGAAAGAAGGTGGGAAAGGGTTCACAATGGCAAAATAAAAGAGGGAGGTAGAGCCACAAAGTGAGTAGAAAGCAGAAAAGAAAAGTAAGATAAAGAGAGAAAGAATATTAAGAGAAAGAAACAAAGAGAATGAAGGAAAGAAAAAAAAATCAGAGAAAGATAAGAATATATATATATATATATATATATATATAGAAAGACAGAAGAAGAAAGGTTCTAGATTCGTGTATCAATCAGATCTAATGTTGTACGTCTCTTGACACTGCTTTATTTCTACCTCCCTAAACTTTCAATCGACTTTCATACATTTCTTCAAAACAGGTCATAACTTTGTCAGAACATCTGATGACGTCAGCCGGCATTTGGTCACGTGATGGGCTCTTGCTGGGCGGGAAAAAGCAGCTACTCTTCATGGCTGTTCCGTAGAAATTCGCGAGATCCATGAGAAGATTATCACCGCAAGCTTTCATGGTCTTGAAAGACTCAAGTGATGCATCCCATTGTAGTAGGCTGTCGTTATACGGCAACCCCACGGCAGCGCAGTACGCCGAAAGCGTCTCGGCAGGTTTCGTCAACAGGTCGTCACCGTCGATCACGATAGGTTTAGGATCGATCTTCTCGTCTTGGAGGTACTTCCAAAGGTCATAGACCTCTTTGACGAAGTATCCCGGTGCAAAAAAGCGGTCATCACGCTCGAGATCGTATGTCCTCTCGTCGGCAGCTTCACCTATCGATAAAAGTGAAACAAGATCATCACAGTCATACAGTCATACTCTCAACCATTGCCAAAAGCATTGCGCCAATGCTCGCATACGTACACTGGATTGGAAGGAATTACCGATTAATCTTTGTAAAACTTTCGCACGCAGCGAAACTCGTTTCCCTCTGAAACCTGCTCAGTGCAATAGACTAGTAGAAGCTTTTATCAGATGCGGACTTACGTGTGAAAGCCTGCGAGGCTCACGAACTTGTCTCATTGTTTGTTAGACCAAGGGTGCGTTTATTGACCAAATTTTTGGCTAGAATCAGGTTTCTCAAACGTCTTTCAGGCACATTTAGTAGGTGATAAACGCAAAGTCTTTTTTAAAGGTCTTTAGATATGGGCATATCTAAAGACGCAAAAAGGTGTGTTTTGAATGTGACATACAGCCAGAATCACGTTTCTGAGAGATGATGTTTTGAACCCCACATACAAATCGGACCTCCCAGGTTAATTTCCGGTTCGGAGGCTAGCGCGCCATGTGTTGTGTCATGTTGTTGTACAAGCATGTGTGTGAAGTTGACCTCCGAGAAACTGTCTGCTTCCCGGGTCAAACGGCGCAGAGCAGCTGTGCAAAGACAAGGCCTTTATTGTGAATCGTGAAGAGACGATAAACGCGACATCTCGCAAATCGCGATCGTATAGTGGGGTTCGATAGTGGGGTATGTTAATGGGGTACGCTATGTACATATCTAATGGCAAGACCCAATAAACGTACCCATATACGTCTGTTTAGTGGGATTTCGGTCTCATTGACCGTCGGTCAAATGGAATTTCACGCTCCATCTCCCGGATCACACCTCTTTGAGAGATCTGCACTTGTCTCTAGTATGCAAAAGAATTGCAATCAAGACTCTGTTGATTGTCTATAAAGCGCTTATCGGTCAAGCCCCTAAGTAAACTGCAGAATTGTTAAAACTCAAGTCTTACAAACAAACACACAACCTTCGCATCTTCAATAATACGAAATACGCTCTTATTGCAAACTCCAACAAAAATAACATTGGGACTGGGTGATTTTTTGACTGGGCAGATAATTATGTTGTCATGTATTCCATCAAACTCTTATAGACAACCCATTTAAAAACGTCTCTGTACCTCCATTATCGAATCGCGTAGAAATAATATTTTTAATTTTGAATAATAAAATTCTCCATTATACAGCACTTCATAGATAATATCAATATGTTGTACGTTAACTCAAATTTTCCGTTACAGGAGAATTCCACCCTGATATTGAGTTGGTATCAATGAAATCAGAAAAATGAGAGAGACAAATAGGTGAACGTATGAGCAATCTCCAATTAAAATTAGGAAAGTTTTATGAAGTTATCATCAGTGAGACACAAAGTGGCAACACTGTGACGTATCTTGTGAGCTCCTCATAAATTTTAACTTTCTTTGTTATTAATGACGGAATAGATTTGTGTCACAGGATGAATGAATGATGCGAAGTTGCTTAAGGAAAAATATTATTTTTGAAGTTTTATAGAACAGGGCAAATGGGAGGGGACCGTTTTTCTTTTCAATCGGGTTTTGCTCAAACTTTCACTGACCCGTTTCTCGCATTGTGCTGCTTCTATCAAAACCAACTTAATTTCAGAGTGGACTTTCCATTTAAACTGTTAATTAGAGTCCCCTCTAAAGGCATAAATATTCAATTTTGACTGAATTGCCTTAAAACCCAATCCCCCCCCCCCAAAAAACCCTCCCCAATTAAAATGTCTCCAGGAACCCCCCTCCCCTCGCGTGATCTCACCTTCTAACAATCCTAGCTCAGAGAACTGCTTGAACATGGACCTTCGGTATGAAAGGATAGAGCGGTGGGGGTTGCGGATGAGGAAGGTATGTCGGTATCCCTTAGGTAGGAACTGACGATACCCGTCAGTCATCGCAAAGGCCATATCCTTGACAAACACATGCTTGGTACTACTAGCTTCAAGACGACGCTTCACCGATCCGTATCTGCATGTAATGAAGAGAATGCATTATTAAAAGAATGGAAATATAATAAAATATAATAATATTCAGTTCTTGTATAGCGCATAATACATAATGAGATAACATCTCTAACACCAAAGAGCTTCGGTTATTATTATCCTATAGCTTAAGCATTAGTTTTAAGAAGTAACAGATAACGAGGGATGGTGATGATGGTGGTACCAATGAGGTGCTACAGCATATCCTCCGGTGGCGATTCGTCTTTGCCCTTTTTTGTAAAAGATATAAAGTCGTATTTTATAGGGTTGCAAGTGAGTTTTAGGTTTATATTTAAGGTTAGAGTTAGGGTTAGAATTTGGGTTTAATCTAGGGTTGAAATGGGATTTCGGTTAGTAGCTTTGAGAAAATGTGTGATGATAATGTTTTCTAGCATGGTCCTCTATAGAGACAACGTTTATAAACGTATAAGGGGGGGGGGTAGCATCTGGAAGCTCCCTCTCTGAGATTCTAGACTATCAGTAATAGGGCAACTGTTATCTCATATTCAGAAAGCGAGGTGTTTTGCTGGTTTTTTGTTTTTTGGAATAGTAGTATTTTATATAGTATAATTCAATGAAAAATAAAGAATAATATAGAAACTAGAAGGACTACAATCATTCCACGTAAGGACGTCACCCTGGTTGAAACTTATGTCCTTTCCTTTTGCCTAATTTACACGAAATAGGTAATTGAACTCACTTATTGGGGGGGGGGGGGAGGAATAAGGAAGTAAATCAAAAGTTTTGCTCCGGATTATAATTAACACACTTTATTTCGGCATTCGATTAAACGTGTTGATCATGATCATGATCACGATTGTAAAATTTGTGTAAAAAGGGTCATTTTTCGCCACGATGACAACCAACAGAATCCAACTGGTGTCATGTGAAAGATTTAAAAAAGGGAGAGGGTTAGGGTACCAGAAAGAGATGCAAATACAAATAAAATGAAAACAAGGAAGGAGGGAATGATTTAGAAGATTTTAAAAGAAGGAGAAGAAGAAGGGGAGGACGAAAACAGGAAGAATGAGAAGAAGAAGATGAAGCAGAAGAAGTAAAATGGGAGAATGTAGGGAGGAGAAAGAAAAGAAGAGGGAGAGGAAGAGGAAGAAGAAGAAGAAGAAGAAGAAGAAGAAGAAGAAGAAGGGAGAAAGAAGAAAGGAAATAATACGAAGAAAATACTCACGGCAGACGATCAGCTTCATTCTTTGATTGTGAAATCATATCCACCATTTTCCGGCCTTCTGGAAGATCTCCTCATTACCCTCATATTCCATGGGGATATCGAGCTTGGTGTGCAGTTTATACTCTACTCTTGCGACATAGCTGTAGGTAAACGGTTCGAACCACACTTCGCTCTCATCTATGAAGCTGAGACACTTAGCGAAAGCGGTAGAAATCGCCCTCGGCACGCACCACAGAATGGTTTTACTCCCGCCAACAGTCCCATTTGGAGAAGACATTTTCTTGTTTTTAAACCGTCGATGAAGAAAATAACACTCTAGCAGTACTGATTCTCCTTGCTTGTTTTTTTCGGTTCCCTAATCCGTGTTAACAAAGTGACTTCGATTTTCAGATGGCTAACTAGTGGAATAGGTTCTTGATACGCAGTAGGCACACATTTACTGAAATAGATAACAGTATGTACAAATCGGATTCGGCTGGATGATCACCGATTAAAATTCTGTGCACTTCACTGTGATGGGTCTTTGGAGAAAAAAAAACATACACTGTAAACTCCTTTTTTAAACTGATAAAAAGTGAGTTTGCGATGATCAGAACAACTTACTGCAGAACGCACAAAGTAGAGTTTCGACACAGATTTCTGGCTACCTACTGTTTGATTTAGGTACTAAATGTCACTCCTAAACTGATCGCACAAGTCCGGTGAGTTGTTTTGTTGGTAATTCCCTTCTGAATGGACGGAATGTTCCAATACACGTCGAATATATATATAGTTTCCCACACAACAGAAGGGGGTCAAGTAAATATCGCACGTAGCGGCCAACTTCTGACGTGGTATACGTATGTATATGAAACCCAATTATATACTCTGAAATATGTTATCACGTGACCACCCCAACAAGTCGTATTGGTTGACAGGCCTCCATGCCATAGCCATTAGGCCATTTAAGCAAATAAATCAGGGCATTTCATTGAATGTTGATGTAAGGTCAAAACTAGGAGCGTACCGAAACATCTTCGTAGTGGGGGTAAGGGCCAAATCAACGTTTATAACTATGCAAAAGAGCAAAGCGAATGAGCAAAGAAAAGTGACCCACAATAATATTTTGTCATCAGTATACACGAGAAAACACATAACATTTCATAGACACCAGGGGCGGATCCACGTGGCGATTTTTCCGACCCGCCCCCCCCCCCCACCCAGCCCCCCAAATCGGTAAAAAAATAGGATAATAACGTATATTTAACCTTTTTTTTAAACAAAAAACCATCAACAAAAATATAGTGGTTCTTCTCGCCATGACCCCCCCCCCCCCCCGCTTATACCGGCTTGATGAATCGCTGCTAAATATTTTCTCACGAATTGGGAAACAAAATTAGTTCTCTCCCACCCCCCCCCCCCCCCTCCCCCCTCCCCCCCCCCCCCCACTTATCACTTATTCACCGGCCAGCTGAATCGGCCCTAAATTTTCCCTCAAAAACTGGAGAGAAAAAAAAGTGCTCTTAACCCCCCCCCCCCCCCCCCCCCGCTTATTCACCAGCCGGCTGAGTCGGCGCTAAAATTTCACACGAATTGCCCCCCCCCCCCCTCCTGCCGCCGGCTGGATCCGCCACTGATAGACACCTTCCTGGCCGAATATGAGGTGATGAAAAGCTTGAAAAGTCCCTGAGGAGAGCTGCACCCTTCCCTTTTTCACTTCATAGGTAAAGGTGAAACTAACCATGATAATGATAATAATGATAATAATTATAAAAATAAGAAGAATGTTAATGATGAGAATAATAATGATGATAATAATATAAATCAAACAATAATACTATCACTACTACTACTACTACTACTACTACTACTACTACTACTCCTTTCACTACTACTACTACTACTACTACTACTACTATACTACTTCTTCTACTACTACTTCTACTACTACTACTACTACTACTACTACTACTACTACTACTACGACTACTTTCACTACTACTACTACTACTACTACTACTACTACGACTACTTTCACTACTACTACTACTACTACTACTACTACTACTACTACTACTACTACTATACTACTTCTTCTACTACTACTTCTACTACTACTACTACTACTACTACTACTACGACTACTTTCACTATACTACTACTACTACTACTACTACTACTACTACTACTACGACTACTTTCACTACTACTACTACTACTACTACTACTATTACTACTACTACTACTACTTCTACTACTACTATTACTACTACTGCTACAACTACTATTGCTACTACTACTACTACTACTTATAATAATGTGCCGGGCTTGGATTCAAAATCTCATCCCTTGGATTGAGAGCTAAGTGAATGAACCACGACACCTAGCTCCAAAACCATGACTTTGACGGAAAGATAAAACTAAATACAGTACTCAGAAGGTTAAGGGCGAACAGGGTTATTTGAGATTGGGATCATAATGATACTTGAACTAATAAATATGTACCAATATACGGTTGTTTACTACTGTGCACATAAGGTGATGCCAAGGTCATGACCCCTTCTTTAAATCTTTTTTCTTTTTCGGACTACAGTCAACTGGAATGCATACTGTATGTCTTCCAAATTCTACGATGAGAGCTTCAACACGACGCAATGGTCCATAGAGCATCTTATCCGATAGGCCTTTTAGTGTCTTCAAGTTTTCTTATTTTGTTCATAGCGACTATAAGGTACTCGACGGTGTATTCGTGCATGTGCTTATTGTTACGCAGGAAGAATGGACTTTTGGACTCCCTCTATCTCTCTTTCTCCCCTCTCTCCCTGCCCCACCGGCCCCCCCCCCCCTCTCTCTCTCTCTCTCTCCCTTCTTCCCCCTCCAATTATCTCTCTCTGTTATTATCATCTATCTTTTTAACTTCAGATGATCAGTGGCGGTCCAGGCCTGGAGGAGGAACCCTCCCTCCCCCAGTCCCACCTCCCTTCCATTTATTTTCGTCTATTATTAGCAGTTAATTTTGACTAAATTAGTACCCTTGCCGGTTGATCCTGAATAAACCATTTGTAATACAAACAAATCATTGTCAATGTGAAAACATGAAGGTCGTACGACCAAGTATCAAGCACTTTGTATGCTCAAACCAAATTGTTGTACATACAAACATCAATAGAACGCAACCCTATAATTTTATATGGTGTAGACCATCGATATGAAACTACGTGTATGCGGACGTGCCATCAACCTGTCAAGCTTTTAATGATGGCCCTTTTATTCTTCTTATTTTAGATGAATTAATTTAATTTACATCGTCTTTTACCTTGAAATAATTTGTATAGGCGTATTTTGTATACTTTGTATATTTGTTAATGATTTGCATGGTGTTTTTTTTTAAGTAAGAGATTGTAAGTTTATACCAACTACCTAGTCAATTTTGTTCAAACAGTTTGTAGAGGTTTTTTTTGTGTGGATAGATATTGTAGAGACTGTAAAGAGGCATTTCATAGGATCTATCCTGCATGTAATGATATACATATAACTCAAGTTGATGAGAGTGACGTATTTTTATTAGATCTATTGATAGGTTTATCGACTATTGACTTCTCTCATTCCCATAGGCTTTAAAGGTAAAGTTGAGTTATGGTCATGCGATTGCATGAAAGTATTGGTGTGTACTGCAAGGTTCTGGAGTCATCAAAATGATAAGAAATTTGGCCCAGTCTTGGTAAAGTTACAAGCACTGTACACAGAAAGATGTTTATGGGACTAAGCGATATCTATCCAGTCCGGATACATATAATAATTTGCCAAATAAATCAATTAGTAGGCGGTTTCCCGGCAAAATGTGTATCATCACGCAATTAGTCAAAACATATTCTTTCACATGATTGGTAATAAGAGCTACCATTTCATTTTTTGAGAGGGAGGCGTTTCCAAAACTGGTCTATACCTTTAATACTATTTAGACAAGTAGTTGCGACAAGCGTATACACGCGCATGCGAGCGCGGTTATAGGTTGGATCGCGGGGATCAGAATAGTTCCGTCCCATGTAAAGTTTTAAAGGCCCACTGCACTTCTTGTAGCTACTTGCGCCCTCTATATAACAAACAATACCTAATCGGTGACCATTGGTCCCCCATGATCCTCTTTTTCTTATGTTAACTGAGAGCTGAGTTGATGAGATAACCACCTGTCCAGTGACCTTGCAGGGCGGTGTAATCCCCATGTAAACTACGGCAGATAAGCTTTAATGGGACGAACCCATTTGGAGCTAAGGGAAATAACTGACCAATGAGGAGCAACTTCCGGTGACGTACCTATCTCTCTCAATAAGCTATGACGCCCCTCATACTGCAAGATGGCGCTGGGATACATCTGTCATGGATCAGTGCTCAATTCACAGAGGTCAAAACAATTAATTCTACATCTCATCCTATCATTCTTGAAATTTATTAAAGGGATAGTTGAGTTCTGTTTTTAGACCGCAAATGCCTTCAATGTGCATGATTATTGCTCTTATTCTTATCTCAGACATTAGTTTTATTGTGCCCTTTTAGAACCTAAAATTGCTATGAAGGTAATTTTAGACCCCATAATGTGTGAAATTTAGCCAATACGTTCATACCAATTCAGCTCCACTTAAAAAAAACACGGTGACCGTTAATTAATTATGAAATTAAAAATAACAATTCATGAGCCGACTAATTGTGGGTAATATAAGTAACACGAAAATGCCAACAAAAAAGCCAATATCGACATTGGCTGAAATACGACATAAACGGCGTTATTTCGTTTTTTCAACAGTTTTTTTTAAATTTTTCAAAATGTCTAATAGGCCTATTTGTGGTGGTACACATGTATTAGAAATCGTTATATTTCAGCCGTCTCTGAACCGATTTTGATCAAACAAAGATGATTTTGTCATTTAAATATTATGTTCTTTCAAATTTGACACTCAGTTTTTCATTATCTCACAACAAAATTATTTTGTGTAGCGCCCTCTGCAACAGAACTCAACTATCCCTTTAAGTGCTATATAAATCCAGATTATTATTATTATAATCAGAGGAAAGACGACGGGAAATAACATTATGTTATAACATTGAAAGGAAATGAATGTGATGTGTAGATACGTCTTTTTTCTCTTGTTAGCATGTGATTTTTGTTTCACTTCTGTTTTGAGCTAATTTCGAACTTAGGCATAAAGCAAGGTTATGAATTCCAAAAGTCTCCTGGGATTGCACGGGCTCTTTTTTTAATGTTGAAAATATTATTACGTTTGTGTTTCTTTTTTTAATTAATTTTCTATTATGTTATAACAATGAAAGGAAACGGATGTGGTGTGTAGATATGTCTTTTTTCTCTTGTTAGCATGTGATTTTTGTTTCACTTCTGTTTTGAGCTAATTTCGAACTTAGGCATAAAGCAAGGTTATGAATTCCAAAAGTCTCCTGGGATTGCACGGGCTCTTTTTTAATGTTGAAAATATTATTACGTTTGTGTTTCTTTTTTTAATTAATTTTCTATTATGTTATAACAATGAAAGGAAACGGATGTGGTGTGTAGATATGTCTTTTTTCTCTTGTTAGCATGTGATTTTTGTTTCACTTCTGTTTTGAGCTAATTTCGAACTTAGGCATAAAGCAAGGTTATGAATTCCAAAAGTCTCCTGGGATTGCACGGGCTCTTTTTTTAATGTTGAAAATATTATTACGTTTGTGTTTCTTCTTTTGATTAATTTTCTTATCATTATTATTAGTCATCTTAATAGCAATATTCATCAAATTATTATTTTCCGCTAAATAGATACAAAATAAAAGGTTTGACATGTATTTGTTTTCTAGGCATTTTATTAAAATAGAATTAGCTAATGCATTTGAACATGGATATACTTTTTTTTGTTAAAACGCGGATTCATTTGGAGAAACAAAACCTACACAAGAGGATGCAATATATAATACAGTTAATATCATACTTTGAGAATTTTGACATGATAACACATGAAACAATATATTGCGTACATCAAATACAACTGATTGAATTTATGAAAAATAAAATGATCGAAAAACATTTTCCTCAAAAAAACAGGCACACATTAGTAGTTATATTTCAAATCATGTCAAACAAGATAAAGGAAAACTATAATGTTTCTTACAATTAAGCGAGACGAAATTAATGTGCACTATTGTTTCAGATATTAAAGTCCGCAAGAAATGTTTATTGGAATCAAGTATTATGTTTAATACAGAACGGTATCCAAAAAGCCGAGAAACTCACTCCCGAAAAAATGATAATATTGAATCTTTTTAATTTGTTCATAACCATAATCCAAATAACCCTGACGTTCGCAAACTGATAAAGGGATCAATTGACGCTTTGTCAAATGACAAACATTTAAATCATATTTTTAAAGAGTCAAAATTGATCCTCATAGTAAACGCCAAAGCCCAAACTAGAAAAGATACTAACAAGGGCTGCAAGTAAACCACAACCCAGTGCGGGAAGTGGCATAAAGAAATATAAGTACAAAAGATGCAAAACTTGCCCTTACTTTAAAGAAACTTATCAAACTGTCTTCAGTCAGAACGAGACGTTTGAAATATCATTCACGTTCCCATGTACTACTGGGGAATTAGATATATTATATTATCTGCCATGGCTGTGGAGAACAATATATTGGTGAACCGGAGATACACTCCGACACAGACTCACTCTTTACACACCACAAATAACGCCAGAAACAATATCGGTAGATTAAAGTGAGCAATCGCATTCAATCATGTGCTGGTTCTCAAGTACCAAACGTCGACATTGAACCTTTTGATAAAATGAAAGAAGACAACAAAATAAAAAGGGGTCTTAAAGAGAAATGTTGCATTTTGGAATTCATGCCATATTGAAATGTTTGTAGTTAGAACAATATGGTTTAGGAGTACATGTACATGTCCTTGTAAATATCATGTAATGCTGGAAAATTATGATCATGTATCACGTAAAAACTTATTTTTACCGCCCCCCCTCCATTTTGACATAAAAACATTGAGACCTATCTGAAATCCTGTTAGTAATTTACAATGTCTTCCTTATCATTCTCTTTCTCTCTCTCTCTCATACATAGAAATTGAGGAGAATTTTGTTTTTGCTAAAAAAGAAGACCGATTTCATTCCACAAAGAACTAAATAAAAAGATATTCGATACAAATATTTAACCATGTTGATCTAACTGAAAATGTGCACTGACCATCTTTACGAGTAATAATTGACAAACATCATAAACAAGAACTTAGCCTATTCCTAATCCCCATAGTTGATTTAATTCCTTTGTAATGATACGACTTTGGATTTAGCACCTTCTGGAATGAATCCATATATATATAACGATATAAAATAAAGGTGTGTGGGATGAGCGCGCGCGCGCGCGCGCGTGTGTGTGTGTGTGTTGTGACAAGCCCATAGAAGTGAAATTTGTTAATTATCTTTTCTTACTGAACTAAACTCTAATTCTCGTCTCATACATTTCTTCAAAATACTTCATGACTTTGTCTGAACCCCTGATGACGTCAGCCGGTAGTTGATCACGTGGTGTCTCCTTACTCGGCGGTAAAAAGCAGCTACTTTTCATGGCCGTCCCGTAGAAATTCACGATATCGAAGAGAAGAGTATCGCCGGCAGCTTTCATGGTTTTGAAAGCCTCAAGTGATGCATCCCACTGTAGTAAGCTGTCGTTATACGGCAACCCCACGGCAGCGCAGTAAGCCGAAAGCGTCTCGGCAGGTTTCGTCAACAGGTCGTCACCGTCGATCACGATAGGATTAGGATCGATCTTCTCATCTTGGACGTACTTCCAGAGGTCATAGAGCTCCTTAGTGTGCCAGCCCTTAGGCAACATGGGGTCGTAGAGCTCGACGTCAAATTTCTTCTCGTCAGCAGCTTCGCCTGATGGTTTTAATGGTTAGAAAATACGTACAGTCTATTCAAAATAATGTAGGATTTGGGCAAGTGATCACAAATGAATTTTCTATTGATGCAGATTTAGACGCAATTCAAATGTAAACATATATATTCCTCAATGTGTAGTGAATTGATATCATACAGAAAGAGAGAGGGGAATGAATAAGGAAAGAAGTAACGTTGTGATGTAATAGTGGAGTGGTTTTTACTAATCATGAAAGTGGAGGACAAGGAGTGTCAAGTCTGACAGACCTGAGCGCTATACAAGAACCCACTATATTATTGTTATCATTATATTTGTTGACGATATTAGACAGTCATTATCAGTTGTAGCTAGGAAACTCACCTTCCAATAACCCGCACTCTGTGTAATGATTGAAGATTGCCCTCCTATAAGAGACCATATGGCGTTGAGGGTTCCTGATGAGGAAGGTATGTCGGTAACCCTTAGGCAGGAACTGGTGGTACCCATCAGTCATCCCAAAGGCCATATCCTTGACAAACACATGTTTGGTACTACTAGCTTCAAGACGACGCTTCACCGATCCATACCTGTACCGGTCAAATATAAGATATTTAATTTAGAAATATAATATTCAGATACTTTTTACGTGATCATAGCATGGACCTATTACGGATGGACATTCAACGTGATTCTTTCTTTGCAGGCACGTAGCCAGAGTTTGATGTTTGTTTTTTGGGGGAGGGGGCACATACAGTACATGTAATCGATCGAGGTAAAAAAAAAAAGGGGGGGGGGGGGTCTACGTGCCTGTTTCTTTGATCCAATGGTAGTCACCGCCTTCTGATTATGTGCATCTTAATGAGAACAATCAGCTGTTAACAATAACGACTGTGTAAGCATTTTTCGGGCATTGACAAAGGAGCAGTTTCCCTCTCTTGGGTTTTGTTTGGATGGTTTGCTCTGTAAGAGTATGTCTTCAATAAAAACATCCCCAATGGGGAGCAGCAAAGATGAAAAGCAGACGATTTTGGTGATATGAAATTTATTATTACTGATTTGCACACTTTTGCACGCACCAATGACCTTATAAAACAATTAGAAGGCTATGATCTTTAAAGGCCCTGTGCGTTGTTAATTAGGAATATTATGAGGAAATTGGGGAAAACGGGATTTTAAATCACAAACAATCAAAACAAAACCTATCTGGTGATATCAACATGTTGTTCAAAAATAGAACACAGTACACGGAACAACAATTTCCGATTATTAACCAGAACTGCACATCGATTTCCCATGATTTAAGCGATTTATTATCTTCTGCGCATGTAGATTAACATGGTTAAAATCACTATCTTGATTCTGTCCCGACTTATTGGCGGTGACCATCATGAGATCAAAGTGAAGAAACATGTACGGAATGTTATTGAGACGACATTGACGGAGACAATCACAATGAATTCGTTAAGAAAACGATGAACGTCCATTCGTAATAGGTCCATGATCATAGTAACACTTATTAATGATTTGACTTTTGAATACAAATTATCAATTAAATCAACTCAAGTGATACTAAAAGTTGATTACTAATGTCGACCCAATGTCCACCCAATGACTGTAGACATGAAATAGCAGTTAGATGAGGGTAAAACTTTTCAGTAATGCGTTCTTATGTTTATGCATAGGTCGCATTTGCCGCGGCGGCCGCGGGGTCTAAAATATCTACGGCCAAAGGCAATTATAGGACCGCCGCAGCATTCCCACGGTCACATAATTATGTTAGGGCAGCCGCGCAGCGTATTTTTATTTCGTGGAGACAGAAAACCTGCGGCTGCCGTACGGCATTTGAAGTTGACGCACGGTCGTCTTAGGGCGTTTCTGCGGCGTTCGTAGGTTTTTGACAATTACCAAGGCAGACGCAAGGCAGTCTCAAGGCCATCATACGCCCGACGTATGGTCGCCGTGGAACCGCTCTATGTCATGACTACGGTGTGTTTAATTGTCTAATTGCTACGGCGAACCTAGAAATGAAAAAAGGTTATAATCCCACGGCGACCCGTACGGCATGTAAAGATAGATAGGGTGATCCTGAGGCCATCGCAGATATATCACGATTTCTGGGGCCTACGGCCGCCGTATCCTAGCCGTAGAGCAAATGTGATCTAGGCATTACTGATACGTTGTGTCTACATTGATAAAATACGGAAAGAGATAATGTGCATGGTCCCCATTTGGGAAGTACCAATATCATTATGTTAGAAATATGAGTGAGGAAAAGATAAAACAATAACAACAACAGAATAAATAACAAAAGTGAAACTAGTCTGATTAGAGTCAGAAGGGCGTTAAGTTATAATGCTCTAACACAAGGTTAAGGCTCCTCTGGCTCTGACCAGTACGAGAACGAATGAGAAACTTACGGTAGACGATCAGGCACCGTCTTGGTGTTCACTCTTTTATCAGTCATCTCCTTGGCCTTGTGGAATATCTCTTCATTGCCCTCATACTCCATAGGTAGATCGAGCTTGGTGTGAAGTCCGTACTCTACTCTTGCGACATAACTGAAGGTATAGGGTTCGAACCACACTTCGCTCTCCTCAATGTGGCTGAGACACTTTGCGAAAGCCGTCGAGATTGCCCTCGGCACGCACCACAGAATGGTCTTACTCCCGCCAACAGTTTCGTTTGATGTGGATGCCATCTTCAGGTTTCTTCACGGAGTCGATGATGATATTGTAAGTTCGGATGTTTAGTGGACCTAATGTTCAGTTCTTCACCTTCTTCTCTGCCTTGGTTTAACGACAATGAAGATTGTTTATAAGACACACGTGATAAATAAGCATACAAATATTGAAGCTTTGATTCAACGGAATTCGAATGCTAAATGTGTGTATAGGCAGTCACATAACCCTTTTTACTTTCTTCTGTCTCAGGGTTTAATGCACTTTAGGGAACAGTCTTAGTCGTCAATTCAAATGTTGTAGGTTTGAATGGAGAACACGGACATTTCATTTCCCACCATAAGTAAAATCTAGTTCCAAAAACGTTACAGTCACACTTGTCTTCTGGTTGCTCTAAGATAGAGATGCAGCAAATTACAGGATGACTATCCCTATTAAACTGATATGTCCAGATTTAAATCATCCTTTAAATGGCTGACTGAAGATGGTGAGTACTCTGGCGAGCTGTATATACTAACAACTCAACAAAAAGAGCGAATCATAGGCACCTGTCGACTTAATGAAGGGCGAATACAAATATGAGCAAATGACAAATGAAACATGAAATATCATAAAGTTTCAGTATACACATTATTCATGTGAGGATACATGACCAATCAAAAATGAGAAGACTTTGGACTACCGAAATATTGGTATTAATGTCAGTGTAAGTGTGATCATATTAATAGCTTTTGCACACTTGTTCATAACACAATTCCAATCTTCTTCTACAGATTAATGATACGTGGGAGACAAAGGTCCCAGGCAAAAGGAGACAATGGGTTTTTGTTTGTGATGTTTCGTGAGGGGCTGTCTTCCAGGGTATTCGAATACCATATCGGTAACATTTAATGTTCCCGGTCAGACTCCCCAATGCGCAGACCCGTAGCCAGAGTTTGATGTTGGGGGGGGGGGGGCACATACATGTAATCGATCGAGGTTAAAAAAAAGTTAAACCGATCTTGGGATTTTTGGGGGGGGGCACGTGCCCCTCCCCCCCCCCCCGTGTCTACGTGCCTGCTAATGTGGCGGTACAGTACAAGGTAACCCAGCTCCTATCATTATTACTAAATCGAAATTACAAACATTGGAAAGTCGTCGAAATGACTTATGTGTTACCTTCTTTAAAAAAACTCTTTTATGCGCAGACCAGTTCAAACAATTTATACCCCAAAGAGCACACAATAGAACTTTGCGAAGAACTAACAAGATCCCTGAACCCAGGTGCAAAACTAAACGTATGCAGAATAGCTCAATCCCAGATTTGATCCGTTTGTTTAACAAAAGTGTTTTATGATTGTATTTAATATACTCTGAAACAAATTACAATTTCATATTCCTTAGTATAAAATTAATTCATAAATTTGAGGTCTGATTTTTTTAGTCAAGTTAGTCAATGTATTTTTTATGACATGAAGAATGCGATGCATATCTATATTTATATTTTAATATCTCTAATGTTCACCTTATAATATTCATATTTGTCTTGCAATGTATCTTTGTATTTTATCAACATGTACATAATTGTTTCCCCTCTCTGTCCATCTGTCCCCTTTCTCCCCCTCTCTCTCTCTCTCTCTCTCTCTCTCTCTCTCTCTCTCTCTTCTCTTTCTCTTTCTCTTTCTCTCTTTCTCTCTTTCTTTCTCTCTCTCCTGCTTTCCCATCTTTCTTTCTTTTTAACTCAAATTTTTAAATTGAAATATTGTATAAGATTAATGGTATATAGTATATACACGCTCTTCATAATTATGTAGATTGTAGTGTGACATCTTGAAATGTATACTTGCTTTTTTCCAGCAATTTATTGTCTTCACCATCAATGTTTTATTCATGCACAATTCAGTAACTTGTAACTGCGATACATGGAAATGAATCAATAAATATATAATAATATAATAATAATAATAGCCTAATAATCCACTCCAAATTTTATTAAACCGAAACGGAAATTCTTTTTGCCCAATTGATCGTGAGCCCGGCAGCCACAGAGCAGCGCCAGATCGACGTTGCTCTATCCCTTAATGTTAATACCATTTATCTATCTATCTATCTATCTATCTATCTATCTATTATACTCTGGCTCGAGTTCACGACAAAGACGCTACGCAGGACAGTACAGCCAAATTGTAAGCCAGTTTTTGTCAGCTCATGTTGACTCTGCATTTATGAAATTTAAACTCCCAAACCATTGACATTAATATTAGTGTGAGTGTGATCATGTAAATATGATCAAGGTCCCGGGGGAAGTAGATGCCCCCTTTTATTAACCCCCTTTTCTTTTTCTTCCTTTTAAATATTTAATCTTTTAATAAGATTGGGCCGCGGCCGCTTCGAACTCCTTGGATTTGTGTTTGTAATTGGATGTTATGAAACAACATAGGATAATCATTTTCAGAATTGTAACTTTATTGGACACGAGATCAGATAATATATAAAGTTATTAATGAGTACTTTCAACAGACTTTTTTTTTTAATAGTTTTTTTTTTTATTGATTCCAAACAATACAAATTAATTTTTAGAAATAAAGTACATTTTGTTTTTCCTTGACATAATTCAAAACATTTACATTACATACATTGTACAATGGATGAAAACAAAAATGAAATCAGTTGTATCATAAAACAAATAACCCCAGAAACCAAACACACTACTTGTTGGTAACTCCCTTCCGAATGGACGGGATGTTCCAATACACGTCGAATATATATATAGTTTCCCACACAACGTATAAGGCCAACTTCTGACGTGGTATACGTATGTATATGAAACCCGATTATATACTCTGAAATATGTTATCACGTGACCACCCCAACATGTCGTATTGGTTGACAGGCCTCCATGCCATAGCCATTAGGCCATTTAAATCAGGGCATTTCATTGAATGTTGATGTTAGGTCAAAACTAGGAGCGTACCGACACATCTTCGTAGTGGGGGTAAGGGTCAAATCAACGTTTATAACTATGCAAAAGAGCAAAGCGAATGAGCAAAGAAAAGTGACCCACAATTGTATTTTGTCATCAGTTTACACGAGAAAACATATAACATTTCATAGACACCTTCCTGGCCGAATATGAGGTGATGAAAAGCTTGAAAAGTCCCTGAGTAGAGCTGCACCCTTCCCTTTTTCACTTCATAGGTAAAGGTGAAACTAACCATGATAATGATAATAATGATAATAATCATAAAAATAAGAAGAATGTTAATGATAAGAATAATAATGATGATAATAATATAAATCAAACAATGATAAAACTATTACTACTACTACTACTACTACTACTACTACTACACTACTTCTACTACTACTACTACTACTACTACTACTACTACTACTACTACTACTACTACTACTTTCACTATTACTACTACTACTACTACTATTACTACTACTACTGCTACAACTACTATTGCTACTAATACTACTACTACTATTACTACTACTATTGCTACTACTACTGCTACAACTACTATTGCTACTACTACTACTACTTATAATAATGACAATAATAATAGGAATGATAATAATAATACTATTTTGTATCCAGGAAAACCTCGTCAGCATCAGTGCTGTTTTTCCTGAGGGCCTAGCACTTATTATTACACCAGAAATTTGTGAGTGGCAAATCTGGTTCAATACCTTGCAAAAAGACGTGAGTGCCGGGCTTGGATTCGAACTCTCACCCCTTGGATTAAGAGCTAAGTGAATGAACCACGACACCTAGCTCCAAAATCATGACTTTGACGGAAAGATAAAACTAAATACTCAGAAGGTTAAGGGCGAACAGGGTTATTTGAGATTGGGATCATAATGGTACTTGAACTAATAAATATGTACCAATATACGGTTGTTTACTACTGTGCACATAAGGTGATGCCAAGGTCATGACCCCTTCTTTAAATCTTTTTTTCTTTTTCGGACTACAGTCAACTGGAATGCATACTGTATGTCTTCCAAATTCTACGATGAGAGCTTCAACACGACGCAATGGTCCATAGAGCATCTTATCCGATAGGCCTTTTAGTGTCTTCAAGTCTTCTTATTTTGTTCATAGCGACTATAAGGTACTCGACGGTGTATTCGGGCATGTGCTTATTGTTACGCAGGAAGAATGGACTTTTGGACTCCCTCTCTCTCTCTTTCTCCCCTCTCTCCCTGCCAAATATATCAATTAGTAGGCGGTTTCCCGGCAAAATGTGTATCATCACGTAATTAGTCAAAACATATTCTTTCACATGATTGGTAATAAGAGCTACCATTTCATTTGTTGAGAGGGAGGCGTTTCCAAAACTGGTCTATACCTTTAATACTATTTAGACAAGTAGTTGCGACAAGCGTATACACGCGCATGCGAGCGCGGTTAAAGGTTAGATCGCGGGGATCAGAATAGTTCCGTCCCGTGTAAAGTTTTAAAGGCCCACTGCACTTCTTGTAGCTACTTGCGCCCTCTTTATAATAAACAATGCCTAATCGGTGACCATTGGTCCCCCATGATCCTCTTTTTCTTATGTTAACTGAGAGCTGAGTTGATGAGATAACCACCTGTCCAGTGACCTTGCAGGGCGGTCTAATCCCCCTGAAACTACGGCAGATAAGCTTTAATGGGACGAACCCATTTGGAGCTCAGGGAAATAACTGACCAATGAGGAGCAACTTCCGGTGACGTACCTATCTCTCTCAATAAGCTATGACGCCCCTCATACTGCAAGATGGCGCTGGGATACATCTGTCATGGATCAGTGCTCAATTCACAGAGGTCATAACAATTAATTCTACATCTCATCCTATCATTCTTGAAATTTATTAAAGGGATAGTTGAGTTCTGTTTTTAGACCGCATATGCCTTCAAAGTGCATGATTATTGCTCTTATTCTTATCTATGACATTATTATTATTGTGCCCTTTTAGAACCTAAAATTGCTATGAAGGTAATTTTAGACCCCATAATGTGTGAAATTTAGCCAATACGTTCATACCAATTCAGCTCCACTTAAAAAAAACACGGTGACCGTTAATTAATGATGAAATTAAAAATAACAATACATGAGCCGACTAATTGTGGGTAAAATAAGCAACACGAAAATGCCAACAAAAAAGCCAATATCGACATTGGCTGAAATACGACATAAACGGCGTTATTTCGTTTTTTCAACAGTTTTTTTCAAATTTTTCAAAATGTCTAATAGGCCTATTTGTGGTGGTACACATGTATTAGAAATCGTTATATTTCAGCCGTCTCTGAGCCGATTTTGATCAAAGAAAGATGATTTTGTCATTTAAATATTATGTTCTTTCAAATTTGACACTCAGTTTTTCATTATCTCACAACAAAATTATTTTGTGTAGCGCCCTCTGCAACAGAACTCAACTATCCCTTTAACTTGCATTACCCTTTTATTGCAATTTTTTAAAATCATGTTAATGTTGGTGATATTTCGTATGGAGAATTTTGTATATGCATGGTTGGGGTCATCCAGTTATTATTATAATCAGAGGAAAGACGACGGGAAATAACATCATGTTATAACATTGAAAGGAAACGGATGTGGTGTGCAGATATGTCTTTTTTCTCTTGTTAGCATGTGATTTTTGTTTCACTTCTGTTTTGAGCTAATTTCGAACTTAGGCATAAAGCAAGGTTTTTGAATTCCAAAAGTCTCCTGGGATTGCACGGGCTCTTTTTTAATGTTGAACATATTATTACGTTTGTGTTTCTTTTTTTGATTAATGTTCTTATCTTTATTATTAGTCATCTTAATCATCCATTTTATGATAAAATCCATGTTTTTAAACATGTATCGTGATCGCTCTTATTTCCACACAAAAAAAATCAACTCAAGAGAAATTTTAATTCCCTATTGTATGTCCCTTAGAAATAATTTTCGGCTTCCATAAAACGTCATTACCATGTTCACACATTTCAAGAGGTGACGACGCACAAGGCGATTGAAATTGCCTTAGGTCGATTTTTGGAAAGTGGTTGTTATCTGTTATAAATAAATAAATCTTTTTATCAAATTATGTAGCCTTCTTTGGAAAATGGAGCATACATGTAGCTACCCAATGACATTTTCAAAGCGATCTTGATATGTATTGTATTTACTGCACGCCAATAGCAATATTCATCAAATTATTATTTTCCGCTAAATAGATACAAAATAAAAGGTTTGACATGTATTTGTTTTCTAGGCATTTTATTAAAATAGAATTAGCTAATGCATTTGAACATGGATATACTTTTTTTTTGTTAAAACGCGGATTCATTTGGAGAAACAAAATCTACACAAGAGGATGCAATATACAATACAGTTTATATCATACTTTGAGAAGTTTGACATGATAACACATGAAACAATATATTGCGTACATCAAATACAACTGATTGAATTTAAATGAAAAATAAAATAATCCAAAAACATTTTCTTCAAAATAACAGGCACACATCAGTAGTTATATTTCAAATCTTGTCAAACAAGATAAAGCAAAACTATAATGTTCCTTACAATTAAGCGAGACAAAATTAATGTGCACTATTGTTTCAGATATTAAAGTCCGCAAGAAATGTTTATTGGAATCAAGTATTATGTTTAATACAGAACGGTATCCAAAAAGCCGAAAAACTCACTCCCGAAAAAAATGATAATATTGAATCTATTTAATTTGTTCATAACCATAATCCAAATAACCCTGACGTTAGCAAACTGATAAAGGGATCAATTAACGCTTTGTCAAATGACAAAGACTTAAATCATATTTTTAAAGAGACAAATTGATCCTTAGTAAACGCCAAAGGCTAAACTTGACAGAATACTAACAAGGGCTGCACGTAATCCACAACCCAGTGGGGGAAGTGGCATATAGAAATGTAAGTACAAAAGATGCAAAGCTTGCCCTTCCTTTGAAGAAACTAAACTGTCTTCCAAAACAGAACGAGGCGTTTGAAATATAATTCACGTTCAGATGTACTACTGGGAATTTAAATTACTGTATTATCTGCCATGGCTGTGGAGAAAAGTATATCGGTGAACTCGGACACAGAATCACTGTTTACAGACAACAAATACGCCAAGAAAAATGTGGGTAGATAAAAAATAGCAATCACAGCACCTTCTGGAATTAAGCCGTATCTATATATTTATATTTATATATTCGTATATAATGATATGAATATAAGGGTGTCTAGGTTGAGTGCTTGCGTGTGTGGTGTGTGTTGTTACAAGCCCATAGAAATGATATTTTGTAATGATTTTCTTAATAAACTAAACTCTAATTCTCGTCTCATACATTTCTTCAAAATACTTCATGACCTCGTCTGAACCCCTGATGACGTCAGCCGGTAGTTGTTCACGTGGTGTCTTCTTGCTCGGCGGTAAAAAGCAGCTACTTTTCATGGCCGTCCCGTAGAAATTCACGATATCGAAGAGAAGAGTATCGCCGGCAGCTTTCATGGTTTTGAAAGCCTCAAGTGATGCGTCCCACTGAAGTAAGCTGTCGTTATACGGCAACCCCACGGCAGCGCAGTAAGCCGACAGAGTCTCGGCAGGTTTCGTCAACAGATCGTCACCGTCGATGACGATAGGATTCAGATCGATCTTCTCATCTTGGACGTACTTCCAGAGGTCATAGAGCTCCTTAGTGTGCCAGCCTTTAGGTAGTATGGGGTCGTAGATCTCTACGTCAAATTTCTTTTCGTCAGCAGCTTCGCCTGATGGTTTTAATGGTTAAAATATACGAACTGTTCAATCAAAATAATGTAGGATTGGGGCAGGTTTTCACAAATGAATTTTCTATTTATGCAGATTTAGACGCAATGTAAACAACAGGAGGCCGTTGCAGGTGTCATGGAAAGATAAAAAGACAAATGTGTGGGTCTTGGAAAAGATTGGAACAGACTTGACCATCAAAAGGGGAATCATGGAAAGAAAACTTAACTATTTTGGGCACATTGTTAGGAGATCTGAAGGTATTGAGAAGCCAATACTGCAAGGAGCAGTCGAAGGAAAACGGGATAGAGGTCGTCCACCAATATCTTGGACTGATGATATTAAGAAAGTGTCTGGACAAGGAATGAAAGGTGCAAAACAAATGGCAGGTGAAAGAGTTGCATGGCGTGCTCTCGTGAAGGCCACAGCAGCGCTTTACAGCGCCACCTGAAGTTGATGATGATGATGTAAGTGTAAACATATACATTCCTCGATGTGTTATGAATTGATGTCACACAGAAAGAGAGAGAGAGAGAGAGAGAGAGAGAGAGAGAGAGAGGAATGACTAAGGAAAGAAGTAACGTTGTGATGTAATAGTGGAGAGGCTTTTACTAATCATGATTGTGGAGGACTTGACGTTTCGAACAGGTTGACTATCCGTCGTTGACTCTCAACAGTCTTTTTCAAGACTACACAAACAGTCCTTTTCAGGTTGACTCTCCTGACGACGGATAGTCAACCTGTTCGAAACTTCGAGCCACTCCCGCCACTCATCCTCTTTAAGCGCTATAGTTTTCCTTCGAACTATAAGCTAAGAAAGCTAACCAACAGTCTTTTTCAAGACTACACAAACAGTCCTTTTCAGGACTACACACCCCCAAGAAAGATTACCGAGAGTCCTTTTCAGGACTCCTCAATCCTTTCTCTCTCTCTCTCTCTCTCACATGGTGCACCCGCAAGCCCACTGTATATCTACATGATCACCATGCAAGCCGACACTTACAAGCAGCATCATTAAATTTGTTGACGATATTAGACATTCATTATTTGTTTGAAGCTAGGAAACTCACCTTCCAATAATCCGCACTCAGTGTAATGTTTGAAGATTGCTCTCCTATAGGAGACGATATGGCGTTGAGGGTTCCTGATGAGGAAGGTATGTCGGTAGCCCTTAGGTAGGAACTGGTGATACCCGTCAATCATCGCAAAGGCCATATCCTTGAGAAACACATGTTTGGCAGAAGAAGCTTCAAGACGACGCTTCACAGATCCATACCTGTACCGGTTAAATATAAGATATTTCATTTAGAAATGTAATATTCAGATACTATTTCCGTTATCATAGTAACAGTTATTACTGATTTGACTTTTGATAACAAATTATAAATTCATTCATCTCAAGTTATACTTAAAGTTGATGCCTAATGTCGACCCAATGTCCACCCAATGACTGTAGACATGAAATAGCAGTTAGGTGAAGGTAAAACTTTTCAGTCATGCGTTCTTATGTATATGCCTAGGTCGCATTTGCCGCGGCGGTCGCGGGGTTTAAAATATCTATGGCCTATAGTAATTATAGGGCCGCCGCAGCATTCCCACGGTTACATAGCAGTCACATATGTTAGGACCTAGCCGCAAGGCGTTTTTTTTTAGTTCGTGGAGACAGAAAACCTGCGGCTGCCGTACGGCCTTTGAAGTGTTGACGCACGGTCGTCTTAGGGCGTCCCTGCGGCGGCCGTAGGGTTTTTGCCAATAACCAAGGCAGACGCAAGGTAGCCGAAAGGCCACCATATGCACGACGTTTGGTCGCCGTGGAACCGCTCTACGGCATGGCTACGGTGTGTCTCATTGTCTAATTGCTATACGACGAAACTAGAAATGAAAAACAAAAGTTATAACTCCGCGCTATAATCCCACGGGAACCCGTGCGGCCTGTAAAGATAGGGATACGCCCTATATAGGGTAACCCTGAGGCCACCGCCGATTTTCTGCGGCCGCCGGAAGTATCTCTCGATTTCGGGGGCGTACGGCCGCCGTATCCTAGCCGTAGAGCAAATGTGACCTAGGCATTACTGATACGTTGTGTCTACATTGATAAAACGCGGAAAGAGATGATGTGCATGGTCCCCATTTGGGAAGTACCAATATCATAATGTTAGAAATATGAGTGAGGGAAAAAAAAGAAAAAACAAACAAACAATAACAGCAACAGAATAAACAACAAGAGTGACACTAGTCTGATTAGAGTCAGAAGGGCGTTAGGTTATAATGCTCTAACACAAGGTTAAGGCTCCTCTGGCTCTGAACAGAATGAGAAAGAATGAGGAACTTACGGTAGACGATCAGGCATGGTCTTGGTGTTTACTCTTTTATCCACCATCTCCTTGGCCGTCTGGAATATCTCTTCATTGCCCTCATACTCCATAGGTAGATCGAGCTTGGTGTGAAGTCCGTACTCTAACCTTGCGACATAACTGTAGGTATATGGTTCGAACCACACCTCGCTCTCCTCAATGTGGCTGAGACACTTTGCGAAAGCCGTCGAGATCGCCCTCGGCACACACCACAGAATGGTCTTACTCCCGCCAACAACTTCGTTTGATGAGGATGCCATCTTTAGGTTTCTTCACCGAGTCGATATTGTAAGTTCTGATGTTTGGTGGACCTAATGTTCACTTCTTCACCTTCTTCTCTGCCTTGGTTTAACGACAATGAAGATTGTTTATAAGACACACGTGATAAATAAGCATACAAATATTGAAGCTTTGATTCAACGGAATTCGAATGCTAAATGTGTGTATAAGAAGTCATAAACCCTTTTTACTTTCTTCTGTCTCAGGGTTAAATGCACTTTAGGGAACAGTCTTAGTCGTTAACTTAAATGTTGTAGGTTTGAATGGAGAACACGGACATTTGATTTCCCACCATAAGTAAAATATGGTTCCAAAAACGTTACAGTCACACTTGTCTTCTGGTTGCTCTAAGATAGAGATGCAGCAAATTACAGGATGACTATCCCTATTTAACTGATATGTCCAGATTTAAATCATCCTTTAAATGGCTGACTGAAGATGGTGAGTACTCTGGCCAGCTGTATATACTATACACCTCAACAAAAAGAGCGAATCATAGGCACCTGTCGACTTAATGAAGGGCGAATACAAATGTGAGCAAGTGAAAAATGAAACATGAAATATCATAAAGTTTCAGTATGCACATTACTCATGTGAGGATACATGACCAATCAAAAATGAGAAGACTTTGGACTACCGAAATATTGGTATTAATGTCAGTGTAAGTGACTGTGTGATCATATGAATAGCTTTTGCACACTTGTTCATAACACAATTCCAATCTTCTTCTACAGATCAATGATACGTGGGAGACAAAGGTCCCGGGCAAAAGGAGACACTGGGTTTTTGTTTGTGATGTTTCTTGAGGGGCTGTCTTCGAGGATATTCAAATACCATATTGGTAACATTTAATGTTCCCGGTCAGACTCCCAAATGCGGCTGTACAGTGCGAGGTAATTAACCCAGTTCCTATCCTTATACACTGGGTCAAGTTAACGAAAGGGACGCCGCTACGCAGGACCAGGAGACCAGTCAAGTTGTAATCCAGTTTTTGTCAGCTCATGTTGACTCTGCATTTATGAAATTTAAACTCCCAAACCATCGACATTAATATTAGTGTGAGTGTGATCATGTGAATAAGATCAAGGTCCCGGGGGAAGTAGATGCCCCCTTTTACCCCCTTTTCCTTTTCTTTTTCTTCCTTTTAAATATTTCATCTTTTAATAAGATTGGGCCGCGGCCGCTTCGAACTCCTTGGATTTGTGTTTGTAATTGGATGTTATGAAACAACATAGGATAATCATTTTCAGACTTGTAACTTTATTGGACACGAGATCAGATAATACATGAAGTTATTAATGAGTACTTTCAACAGACAGACGCGCGCGCACGAGCATCCACCCACACACACGCACGATCACACGGACGCACATACGCGACCCATGCACTCAGTGGACCCAAGTCTGAAGAAGACTTTCTGTTAGATAACCATCAGTGTCGTTCGTGGCAACATACATGTAACATTTTCAACGGGAGAGGACGTGTTGCTGAAATCCTTGTTATCTACATTAAGTATGTTATTTTGTTGCTTGTTTCAGTTAGTTTCCAAGTGTGTTATATTTACCTGGAAGTTATTTCCCTAACCAAGAATGATTGTGAGCTACTGTCAGTAATGTTAACGAATTTCCCGTAATTGACAGTACGGTTACATATTTGAAGATACCGAAGGTATCCATTTTAAATAAATTTACATCATTAGAGATTTAGGCAAAACTACATTATTTGATTCTTAGTTCTTTTGACAGTAAAGTGTAAGTCCATTACACGCCCGTTTTGACCAGAATTTCATGTGACTACAAAATCCCGGCAAATTCACTAATAAAATTAGAACGCCACATACGTTGGCTTGTTTTAAGCTATAATTCATTGATTAAGGATTGCATATCTTTGCCTCAGATTATAAACAAAATCCTGGATTTAGCTCGTGCTGCAATCATAATTATAAACCTTTATGTCAGTCAGGAATCTCATGACTTTTACAAGCTGATCACCTGTCTGATTATCAAGATATTTATGATTGGAATTAAAAATTTCAAAAACCGTTTTCCCTACGGTTTTTATAACACTACAGTCTATTGGGGGAAAACGAGTATGGTAAAAACCGTTCGATCAAAGTTATTTACTTTTTTGAGGCACTTCTTGGTCATTTTGAAGCGTAATTTTATTTAGGGCTTCAATATAACACCATATCACAAACACTGATAATACGTAGGGCCATGCATCTCAGATTTGTAAAACTGGAAACATTATTAAACAATGCCTTTAAAGTTCAAATGCAACAGTTTGCCACTATATGATATTATTTCGGAGTGTAGGTTTAATGGTCAAAGGGCACTTAGGTGTTTTTCATGGGAGTTTGGTATTGAGATCTTTTGCCAAACTTACTGTAGAGCTGTAAAAAGGACCAAAAATTGCTTGAAGTGACTTCTAAGGATGAGCGAGTTGGTACGTGAGGGGTGGGGGTGTTAAGCGGATTCGCAACGCTCGGTCATTTGGCGAGCGTTCCGTTGTCTGCACACAATACAAACTATCGACTTTATATCCACGACTCAATGACCAGAACAGTTATACCGATGACATAACACATAATGTGCATTGAATATACGAAGATCTATAATAACAATTCGTCAGTGCCAGAATAAATACCCCACTTGAGTTTCTATTGCACAATAGGCACTCGTTGCAGCATATACTTTACTTATTTGCTAAAGTTCTTGAACTCCTTTCATAACCCTATTAAACAGTTGTAAAGCCATGCTCTTCCAACTTTTGCTCTGCTCACTGCTGCTTATTCCCTTGGTTTCAAAAGCATGTTAAACATGATTCCAGCGAAACATGAAACAGAAATCAGCACAGTTGTTGATTCATTTTTTAATATCTGAACCCCCTTTCATTGTTGTTTTCTTTTCTTTTCACCCTTTATATATATATGTTTTTCTTCTCTCTATTTCACTTTCTCTTGTCTTACAGATAGTTGAAGTGTTTGTACTTTGCTGATTTTACTTAATTTATTGTTGTGTGCTTATAATATTTTGTATTCCTTCTTTTTTTTTAAATTCTACGGTAATAAGCGATCCAACTTCACAGGTTTTCGCAACCTTCATGGAAAGCCCCGCATATAACCTTTGTAAACATAGTTAAAATTTACCGTTACTTTGTATATTTTCATTTTGCGAAATAAATTGAACTTGAACTTGAACTTTAAACTGGGACATGGAATAAACGTGACATATACAACGAAAATTTATCGTAAACTAAAAGAAAAACTAGGTATATATACCTCTCGATAAGAGGCATATTATGTCAATAATATAAATATCTTAGAAAGAGGAAGGTATATGCAGTTTCTTTTCAGTGCTACGAATTTCAAAACAGTTTCACCAAGCTCTGCATTCCTTGTAATGAAATGTACAGAAGGGTGTTACTCTTGATGCATTATTATTCCCCTAAGTTCTTTTCCCCTTTTCTTTCCCCCTTTTCAGAGGTCTACACAGGTTGATTGCAATGAAATACATCCGTCCTTAGATGCAACTGTGCATTGTGGACGCCTTCCTAAGTCAATCTATGCTGCCAGGCTGTGGATTTTAATAGGAGGCATTGTTATTGATTCTCTTTTCACGGCTTGTTGCTCTTCGCTACCCCAAATACTGAGCTAGCCTCAATCAATCGAAAGTGATTCTTTCTCATTACCCAGCATTCCGATCGAGATCAACACTGCCACTTCGACAAAAAGATGGCTTCCAGATTGGCGACAAATTCAACTTTTATTGGGACTAGATCACCATGTGAATAATAGCAAAGTCTAGCTTTGATCGTTGGTTGCTTAATTTTATGAGTAATTGGACAATTTAACTAGGACATTACCAAGTCATTAACAGGAGAGGCACACAGGTAAGTCAATACGACCACTCATCTGTGAAGTGTTTATGGACGTAGAAACATGCAAAGTAAACAATGACAAGAGGTCCACGATAGGAACTAAAGTTATTCGTATCTCACCAGGAGGAAAGTTTAGTTAATCATCGTAGTTTTCGGAACTGTTTTTGTCCTAGGGGGTATGTTTGAGGAGTATTTCCACATCGATAAGACGATATATGATAGAATCCCGGTCATATTCTTAGGCCTAGAGTACATGCGATATACGTTGTCATGTGTGAGTAACCGTTGCTATGCGTTCATTGCATGGTGAACTATCTATTGTCTCATGCGTCAAGTTTGATGTTTAAAACCCTAAACCAAGGTCATACAACATAAAGAAACAACTATACCAATAATACCTAGTTAGTGATAATAAAACTAATCTCTAATTGTATTCCATATTTGCCGGTTTTACTTGAAAATATGTCTTTCTTAACACGAATTCAGTAAGAACAGAACGTTGTTCCTGGTACCGCCATGTTCTGTTCGAGTTCAACGATTAAGCACGAGTAACGTTGCTAGAATTTCATTCAAAAAGTATGATTACTGGAGTAAAATAGCTACAATACATTCATGAAAACGAAAAGCCGCGCCCGTTTGCTTTAATATCTATTTCATGTCAAATTTAAGTGATTATCCAAAGTAGAGAATTATGTCGCATGATGTAGAATCGTGTTCATAACAAAGAGATTCAAGACGGCCATACATTTTGATCCCATAGGATATTTTGAATAACTTTATATATACAGTATATAACATGTATAGCTATGAATGCTAACACTTTGCCATTTTTTGGGGTGTTCATAAAAGAAATATACTTTCATTATTTCGATGGAAACGATAATGTACGATATTATACGCCAACAACGGCGGTCTGTACTACAGTATACTAGAAGAAGAAGATACATATAAGGCAATTTTGTCCTCAGTTTAATTTGGGCAAAGAAACAAAGAAATCTGGGCCCCATTTTACACAACTTGTTATCAGTGACAAATGACAGATTTTGTAATAAGCTAGTGGAATCCTTGCGTCTGATTTGTTATCAGCAGATTTGTCACTGGTTTTTGAAATTTGTCATTGAAATAAAAGCTTTGTGAAATGGCTTCCAGGTTTGTTGGAGAAAATGAGAAAGATAGGATACTAAATCATACACCACAATTGGTGAATAGGAAGCCTATGACATTACATAATCATGACAGAGTTGCCAATCTATCATCAGATAGCGATCATCATAAAACGTAACTCCATTAAATAGCGATCTTCTAAATTAAAAACGTTACTCCATTAGATAGCGATGATCATAATTATATTGAAAACCTTAATGACTCCTGGTATGTAAGTCCTTAAATCACATCCAACAGATAACCTTCAACAGTTTCGATGCCTAAATTTCAGACCTCTTCCTCAGACGCGCATTGGCAGTTCATAACTGTTTTCCTAATTTTCCTCAAACTTTTTATATAATTTTCTCTGATAAATATTTGTTTAAATCAACATTTTTGGTGATGATTGTTTTGCTTTCAACTTAAAGTTTACGGACTGTCCTTTAAATCTAGCTTTTGTCTGTATACTCTACGGTGCAACGATGGTTGACGTTTTAACTGAAATAGAACGGTTTAATTCTAACTGACATATTGAATCGGATTAGAACGGACCTTAATCCGATCTTAAACTTGAAAGCACCATTAGTGCTTTAAGGGGGGAAGAATGTGACCTAATGAGGCATTGTCGGCCTCTTCATGGGGTCCACTTGTGTCGACAATGCCATCCTTAAACCTATGAGTTATGCCATGACGCCCAACGTGGAAGGGTTCAAAATAAAAACATTTTGGGTTTCGTTTTGCCTTCAGCTCAAGGCTAATTTACTCTTTCTCATCACTTTTCGTAATTATTACAACCAAATATAATAATGTTTATTCCTATCGTCTAGCATGTTAATCTTAGTTTTCTCTAGCTTGAATAAAACTATTTTATTGGATTCTTTTTTAAATTGCTGATTTGAAGTTTTTATGGAATATTTTGCTCTGTAAAGAAGGTTGAAATGAAATAAATAATTCAAAAGTAACTATCCATCTATTATAATACAACCATTTAACAAAATGGAATGAATGTACTTTTTTTTTATTTTTTTTTTTATAGAACTTTATTTTTGTAGTGCAAAAAAATTCAATATTATCGAAAATTATACAACACATTTATCAATATTTACCTAAAAATACATAAAGAAAATAGGCATATTGGAAATTAACATTTTACAATTAACATAATTTGTGAACGTAGGTGACGCAGTCACATGCGAGTTGCTTGATATCGATGGCGGACACAAATATTGTGTAATGTCATATGAAATAATGATGATAGTGATAATATTAATCTCTTTCTCTTTCTCTGTTTCTCTCTGTCACAACAGGAATTGTGTTTACACTACCGAGCTCAAGCGAGATCCTCGTTGACATATTAGTCTCCATTGACTTGGCTTTCATACGTGTGGAACTAGAAGCATTAATCGAATAATCGATAAAAGGTGCTTCAGCAGTCTACGTCACGGTTCTGTACTCTCAAGTACATATCCACCAATGCCAAAGACCTAAATACACAACCAATCAATACACGACGCTCCAATTCAAGAGTAAATTAGAGATACTCGAGAATTAGCAGAGAAAAGGCATGGACCAAAGCTCTAATTATAGGAACATATTCAATTGATCATCAAGCAGAAACTCTTCTCGTTTCGCCAATTTTGTTTATATTTTGTGAAAAATAGTTAGTTTGCAAGGAGGACAGCATCTTATCAAGGATAAGATCGACTTAAGCGAATTGAGCACCAATGAGCACGTCTAAAATCAACTGTTCTTCCAACTGACGTTTGAACAATAGACTGACAGAAAAATCGTTATTTTTGACTTACTTTTCTTTTAATTCAAGGTATTTTTTTTAGCTCTATCAGGATTATCTTAATCTTTATTTAAACAAGGAATACAAAAAGTGATTAACCATGGATCCTTATGAGCTGGAGCAACATGTACGGTTCCTGCATCTATACGATGCGGCCCTCGCAGAACAGAGGCAAGAAACTATGTCTAGATCCCTACGTAGGATGCGACGTCATAACTCGCATACACAACTCGGACAGGTCAATCGCAGTCACCCACCTCCGGTCAAGCGAGCTGACAGCAGCGGTCAGCTCGAGCTCCATCGGAAAAGCTTTAGTCGGCCATCGTCAGAATCGGGGTACAATTCGAATCTCGAACATCGACGTCTAAGTCGATCTCTAGATCGTGAGCTTACGAAGAGGAGCTCGACTGTGAGTGATACAGGGACCTATGAAGGATACCCTCGGGTCCGTCGGGTCAGTGTGATCAGGAAGGATCCAGACAACCGTCCACCGACACCACCTATCATCAAACGAAGAGGGTCATCAATTCGTAGTCATGAGTCCATGAGTCCGAGTGTCAGGTTCTCCACCGTTGAAGACATCATGTCCGCCTACGGTCACGGTAATTCCTGGAGTGGACGATACAAACCTAGAAAGTCTATCGATCGCGAATCGAATATTACCGCTAACTCAATTAACGAATTCGATGATATACGCGGAAGACGTTCGTCCTCGGCGAGTCGTGGTCACGACGAGTTCGACAGTGGTCGTCGTTCTTCGCACGGACATCGTAGAGAATCGTCATCGAGTCGGAGAGCATCTGTGTCAAGTCGAAAAGCTTCGGTATCGAGTCGGCGCTCTTCGGTGGCAAGCAGCTCTCGACGGCCCAGTACGAGCAGCCGAATGTCACAGTACGACGTTCCTCCGATGTCCATCGTAAGTCCGAACGGAATCGAAGGTGCTGAGATCATGCGAAGATTGTCGAGAGTTAGAGAGCTGAAGGAATGGGAGAGATCGTTGATTATGAGCCGAAAAAACTCGACGAGCAGCAGAAGAGGATCAAGGAGTAGCAGACGTAGATCTACTAGTAGCAGAAGAAGGTAAATAAATGAAAATAACATAATCATCCATCTTCTATTTCAGACCTTTTTTTAATTCAGCATAACGAGATCAGTTGCAACACTGTTTTATATCTTAGGTCCTGTTAAAGGAAAATGAGCACATCAACATCAAAGTGAATCCATTGTTAAGATTAAAGACAAATGTTTCAAAATATGTCTAGTAAAATGTATTTTTAAAGATGTTATTGAGAATAAGTATGGTTTCTCAATACAGAGGTGAAATTTCCACACAAATACATCTACGATGGAAGAGAGTTTTCATGTTAAAAACATACGTGCTTTATAGTTAAATTCACAGTGAAAAAGAATTTTTTTTTTAAAGAAAAATGTTTAGTATAAAAGTAGTGTTTTTAAACACTGAAAAGATCCATAATTGACTTGGCACTTGCTAATAGAAGTTTGCCATTGATACAAAAGATTTATGATTTGAATTGTGTTGTTTACTGTAAGAGCCAATCTTATTCTCGTTTTAATCTATTTTTTAAATAATTGCGTGGTTTTTCTCATTTTTGCATATTGATGTAGGTCATCTGTCGGTTATTCGACTTCAAGTTCTAGTGGTTCCAGTTCTGATTCTGACTCCGAATCCGACTCCGACTCCAGTTCATCCGGATCTGGCACTTCCGACTCGGATAGTGACAGCAGCTCGAGTTCGGGATCCGAGACCGAGACCGAGAATAGCAGAGAGAGAAAAACGTCGAGATCCGCCAATGCAGCGTCGAAATACAATAACGCTGGTATTGACCGGATCGACGGCGGTAGAACATCGCAATCGAACGGCGGTATGGCTTTCGCGATGGACGGTGACAGGGTTCGGAGGCAGAGGAAAAATGATGCTTCGTCGGCGATTTGTGCGATTCTTTAAAAGAGATGTGAATCTCATATTTGAAACAAAATCGCATCATGTTCTGAACGTTGAACTTTGGAAAGTTCATGTACATGTATTTGTACAATGGTGGTATAATGACTCTATAACATACATTGCTGTGAAGACATGGGAAATAGGAAACTAATACATGGTGATTTATCTTTTGACAATCAGCTCTTCGTCAATTATTTCTATTATTAACATAACTCATAACAGGCAGAACTTATATTTGTATAGTTATTCATCTTTTGTTTATATTTGTCTTATCTGTTTTTTTTAATTTTTTTTTTTTAATATGTTTTATCTTTCATTTACATTATACCAGGAATGTTTTGGGATCTACGCTTGTACAAGCCCTAAGGGCGTTATTTATGTAGTTCCCCATTTCATTTTATGAATATGTTCATGAATTATTTTGTATCTTTTGTATCAATGTAATTTTAAACCAAGAATGAAATAAATGAGAATTGAATTGAATTGAATTGAATATATAATGATGATTATGGAAGATAGAAAGAAACAAATTAATTTTTATCATATAAATAGTAATCGCTGTTGAGGATGAGAAGAGAGCTTCTTTTAGCGTAGAAGTATAATCCCAAATACATAATGCAATGTCGGAGGTTTTGTAACTAATCACAGAAGCATGTATGAACCAGGAATTATGAGCTTTTCGCTCTCTGTGTCTTCCACTATGCCACATAATACAACATGATATGACCAATTGTAAGTTTCAAAGATTGTAATAAATGATATCGCGGCTTGTATGGAAATTTTCATAAAAATGCCATTTTTGAGGGGTAATTTTTATAACTGATAGAGTTTACACAGGGCCTATAGTTTTTTTCCTTCCAGTGAATTCAATATTTTATTAATAGAACAAAGTACAGGTGTTTAGATTTGTTAATGTTTCGAACACTGTCTACGTACGTAATCGATCATCACTGCAAGAATGGCTTTGATTCCACGTAATCTTAACGTACTTATTGGACATATAGAATTGTATAAATTTATGAATAATAACAAATTGTATTAACATAATTTAGGTTGAGAAGTATTGCAATGAACTGATTTATATTTTTTAATTTTTTTTGTTGAAATAAAATTTATTCAGAATTCTCAAGGCAAATTTACAAAAGTACACAAGACAAAATAATTGATTTGAAGGCAACACGCATTACACAGTAAGACAAGTATTACATAATAAGTGTTATAGCATGTTTCAATTCAGTTGTACACCTCTCCATCTTAAATAATCCGTTCTTAAATAATCCATAAGATAATGTACTATTTTTACTTTTTGTAAAGAATATATATTTTTTGCGTATAAAATAATAAAATTGAAGTGACAGAAATTCCAGATATAAATATGTATATTTATACTTATAGGCTATACTTAACATATAATATTCGAAGGAGAGGTCGTAACCTCTTAATACCAGTCTATCCCCGTGAGATTAATGTGGTAGTTCAAGGAGATAAACGACCATGCGGCAATCAGGCAATCATGTTATCGTATGTGCACTCTCTTTTTTTTGAGCTGGCGAGTTCATATTTAGCGCGGTAAACCGCCGCAAATAAAAAAAGGCCGCCGCGAATTTTTTTATTTAAAAGGGGGAAATGTATGGCAACTGTGCGAAACAAAAGACTTCGCGCGTATTCTCTGAGCCTTGCGTGATAAGATATATATATATGATCCGTAAATAGACATAATAATAATAATAATAATAATAATAATAATATGTCTTGTTTACCCAGGGTAGCCTCATCAGTATTCATACTGTTCTCCCTGAGGGCCCTGCAATCATATTATTACCCCGGTCATCGGATTCAGGCTTACCCGCACATAATGTATACACATTTTCCACTCCCTGGGGAGCATTCCAGCCAGGCGTCACGCATGACATTATGTCATCATTAAACAAAAATGCAGCGGTTTTGCTGCGTCACATCTGAACGAGTTTTAAGATGGAGAGAGGTGAATGGGACAAAAGAAAAAGGGAGAGAAATAGTAAGCTTGAAGGGGAGAGAGTTAGCGAGGTAGAGAGGTGTGAGAAAGACGGTGTAGAGATTGTGGAGAGTAAGGGGAAGAGGAAAGATATTATGTTGGATAGAGAGTAAGAGAGGGCCAGGGGGGATGAGACACATACAAAGACAGTACGAGGAGAGGGAAAGAGAGAGAGAGAGAGAGAGAGAGAGAGGGAGAGTGGGTGAAGAGAGAGAGAGAAGAAAAAATAATGATGTGTGTGTGCGCGCGTGTGTGTGTGTGTGTGTGTGTGTGTGGGGTGGTGCCCTAGAAGGTGGTTGTCCTAGGGGTTAATTGTCCGGGGTGGTTGTCCTAGGGGGTAGTTGTTCGTGGGTAGTTATCTAAGTGGTAGTTGTCGTAGATGGTGGTTGTCCTAGGGGGTAGTTAGATGGCGGTAATCATCCTAGAGGGTAATTATGCTGGGGGTAGTCGTCTTAAAAGGTAGTTGTCCTAGAGGGTGGTTATCGTGGAGGTGGTTATCCGGGGCTGGTTTTCCAGGGGGTATAGGTGTTCGGATACGGATTCGGCTATGTGTACAATTTATATTTTATCATTATAAAAAGAGTTTGTAAATCATGGAAGATAGTAATTTAACAACAATTATAATTTTACCGTTCATTTAAAAAAAAAAAAAAAAAAAAAAAAAAAAAAAAAAAAAAAAAAAAAAATCATTTTTCATTTTCCATAGACCGCGTATAATAAATTCAAGACGCTAGCTGAGACAATAGATCAGTGTATTCATTAGTAGACAAAAACCTTAAACCGTGCATTTTTTTTTTCTTCAAACCTTAAGCAAATGATATGCAAAATTGACGTAGCTTTTTCAGATGCTAATTCATTGGCCTAATTGATTCCCTTGGCTCAACACTTGTTTTAAACCCCCATTTCTTCTGAACCGCTAAATGTTCTGTCAGAAATGGCACTATAGGTGATAATATTTACCACGAGCAATTGAGTGTTATTGTAGTACATGTAGTAGTATTAGAAGTAGTGGATTTGGTGATGGTGATGGTGGTGGTGGTGGTGGTAGTGTTATTTATAGATACATACATTTTAGACAAGCTAAAATGGATGGGAATCATTATCATCGTTCGACCCGTATTCTCATAAGGTTTGAACCCACAATTTTTGGTTGAACAGGCAGATGCTTACCGACTGAGCCAACTCGCCTTCTCGTACTTTTGGAGGTTCCCTTTAAATTTGGATATGATCAGAGGAAAACAAAGAGGGAAACGAGCAAGGAAAGTGAGACACCTGTCATAACATTGAAAGGAAACGGATGTGGTATGTATATATTTCTTTTTTCTCTTGTTAGCATGTGGTTTTTCTTTCACTTCTGTTTTGAGCTAATTTCGAACTAAAGCAAGGTTATGAATTTCAAAAGACTCCTGGGATTGCAAGGGCTCTTTTTTAATGTTGAAAATAATATTACATTTGTATTTCTTTTTTGTGATTAATTTTGATATCAATTAATCATAAAATACCATGTTTTTAAACATGTATCGTGATCGCAGCTATTTCCACATAAAACAATCAACTCAGGGGAAATTTAAATACCCTATTGTATGTCCTATAGAAATAATTTCCGGATTACATAATACGCATTACCATGTTCGCACATTTCAAGAGGTGACGCACAAGGCTATTGAAATTGCCTTAAGTAGATTTTCCGAAGGTAGTTGCTATCTGTTATATCTGTGTGTTTAAATATTCACAGATTTGGCAGGTGCTTTTCAGACCATGAACAAGCTCTGAAAATGAGAAGCATATAAAGCAATTTTAAAGTCAGGATAATTCACAGAGGCATAGATTGTTTTTATTTATCATATCTCATTGCATGTAATAAATATTACATCGTTAAAAAGTGCATGAGTCATTTGCCCCAATGTTTTTTAAACAAAGTTATGTATGATTGTGTTTTAACAGTATGAAATAAAAATGTTGGCCAGCTCTGGACGTATATTAAGGAAAAAGTTTGATTTAAATCAAACATTTTTCCAAATATTATCATATAAACGACACATTTCTTAATTTCTATATGAATTTCTCGAATCAACTAACATCACATTATCTCTTGCACGATCCAAAGATAAATTTCAGAGCAATTGTGCTTCTATTTTCGCAAGCCCCTTCTTTTGAAGGTGCAAAGTTTTTGTAAATTGTGCGCTCTTTTCTGCAACTCATAACGAACAATTACAGGTCACCGGCCTAACTATTACGTAGCTTTCTATTTAAATATTATTAAATCATTAAATCTTAATGATCACTGTTAGTACTGCAAACGCTCTACACGCTTGCAGTACTAATAGTACTGATTATATACCTCACTTAAGTAATCCAACAATCTGATTGGTCGAAATTGCATTCATAAACTTTAACTGTTCCCGAAAATTCCCGGTAACCATGGTTAAAAAACAGTTCAAAATCCCAATCACCATGGTTATTGGGAAAATAGGTCAGTCTCCATGGTTACCCCATAGGTTTACATGTTAAAAAATGGTCTGAGCGATCGAGGATACCGTACGTGTGCGAAGAATTGGTCGGTAATTTCAATACAATCGAATCTCGATCGATCTTACCGACAATTTTATCTTGCATTGTTGACATGAAGACGAAAATAAACTTCCAAAAACAAAAAAATAACATCTGCCGATAGATCTTGATCTAAGTTCGTGCCAATATGCATTGCAAAAGTAAAAGAAGGGCCCGTTTAATGGAGCAGCGGCGAAGCATCGACCACGCGAAGCCGTTTTCAATTCATTTTAATGTATATATTAAAGAAAACTACTGTACATGTTGACAGAACGCGCTGGCCGAGCGGTTTGAGGCGCTAACTTTAATTACATTTCCGTTTGTACGCAAGAGATCGAATCCCATCTTCGTCAATTTTTTTTCTTCTTTTTTTTCCCCTTTTTTTTCGGCATATAAAAGTATTAATGACTGCTTTAATATTCGAGAAATAGTTGTTTTTATACGCTCTCGGGAAGGTTACAATTGGGCTATTCCCCTTGGCACGCCTCGGGTAATAGCACAATTTTAACCTTTCCTTGAGCGTATAAAACAACTATTTCTCTCAAAGCAGTCATTAATACTATATCATTAAGAGGTGAGAAAATATATGCGCTTAGTGGGATCACGAAACGATAATATTGGTTATCAATTCGGTTGCCAGCTAAGTACCATATGGTGAAGTTATGTAATTTACAGTAGCAGTAGTCCTCGGGGGTAGTTGTCCTCGGGGGGGGGGGGTAACTGTCTTAGGGGGGTAATTGTCATTGGGGTAGTTTTCCGGGGGGTGATTGTCCGGGGGGTAATCGTCCTGATACACTTTTCTATTATCCTCCTTGCACTATCGCCATTACGGTATAGGGCCTCTATAAACTTATGGATTATTGTGTTATTACTGGTCCAGGAGTCAATAGTTGTGATGTTTGTCTCATTCATTCCAGTGAATTGTTAAACAGCGTCCTCACGTGTCGTTTCGAGTTAGACCCAATGGGTGAAATCAAGTGCTATATATTAACACATAGAATAACATGCGTATGAGGAAGCATTGAAGATATTTACTCATGTATGAAATCAAAGTTGAAAAGTTCGTGTTGTTCCCTCCCTGTAAATACAGACAGCAAACCTCACCGTGAAAAGGCACTTGGGACAACCGTACATTTGACACAATTGACAGGATAGCTCTATCTATGGTTTCCAACAGACGTAGGTGATATTTTATAGGCGGGGGCTCCAGAGAGACTAACATATCAAAATGTACATCTAAAAGTATTCAATAATAGCACCAATTCAATCAGTCCATCTTTCATTTTTGAGTTAGGAAAATTACCCCTCCCCCCAAAAAAAATAAAAAAAATAAAAAATAATAATAATAATATATTTTTTTGTTAATTGGAGATTTAGGCTCTGATATTTATCTCTCAGGCGGCAGGCGCGTACATGCGCGATAAATTTTGATCGAAAATAGAATACGAAGACGTTTATTATGATGGTTACAAGACTACAATAATTTTGTCTAAAAATAGCAAAGTTGAAGTAGACCGAAAAACAGTCTATTTCGTTGATCGTTCCTTCTGTGACTACGTCTTGTCAAAAGAGTCTTTTCTTAAACTCCTCCAAGCAGATGGATTTTTCTGTCTGGAGTTGAAGGCAATCTTGTAAAGGTGTAGCCTTAAGGCTGTAAATGGGGATTATGGATCATTTGGTACACCATAAGTAGCTACGCGTGGTGATTTGTTTTGTCCGATAATGTTATATGGCTTATTAACTAAATTGAGGCATTCCCACTTGAGGGATTTCGGTTTTAATGAAGCGATGATTTGAGTT